CTTGTCAGGCTCATCTGAACTCAGCCCAGTGTCTTCCATTTTTTATCTTATGTCCTTAAGCTTGGGTGTGTGTGTGTGTGTGTGTGTGTGTGTGTGTGTGTGTGTGTGTGTGTGTGTGTGTGTGTGTGTTAGACGATGAGTGTTATGGGGGGTATTATACAGTAGTCATATTGTTATGGGGAGGGAGGGAATGTGGGTATGTGGGGTCATTTTAATTTATGAAGCACTTTGAATTGCATCTGTTGTATGCATTGTGCTTTATAAATAAAGTTTTCTTTGATTTGGCATGTTGCACAGGGATCCCAACTGTTTTTGTTTCTTTGTGCAGTTATTTGTTATTTATCATGTGGTTATATGGCACAATCAATCACACCAAAGCAGACCAAACACACACATTTACTGAGAAGCTGAACGTGTTTTCACACGTTGGTTTTAAAGTTTCACTAAAGTGTCTCTGACACTGGAAGCATATTTTTTTATTGTTTCGCTGCACAGACATCTGAGACATGAGAGTAATGTCATGAAATGTGTCAAAGGTCACAAGTGACTGACAGCTCCTAATGTTTTGGAAGGGACACACACACACACACACACACACACACACACACACACACACACACACTTGTAATTTGTAAGTAATACATGTGAAACTGTATTTATTTAAAGCAAAATTTCCAGAAGTTTTCATCACAGTTTTATGTTTGTGTAAAAAATCGAGTGCAGTGGAGTTTATTTGCATGTGTCCTGAGTGTTAGAGGCTCTCTGTCCTAAAAGCAGCAATGCCACAGGTAGGACTATTATGAAGCAAGGCAGCAATGGCAGACGTGTGTCGCTCTCTTCTGGTTATCTGGTTTCCCTCGTGCACGCTGTTAGGGCCTAACGGGGCATTGAACAACCCCATTGTTTAAAGAAGATGCACTTAACAGTAGGAATGTGAATATTTTCCTTACAAAATATGTGATGATGTGTGGTAATACCCGATAAAAACAGTATAACTGGTGTGATTTTGGCCTGTGATACAGAATTAAATATATTACTGTCTAACTGGACGCGTTTGCTGATGATGTCATAAAGACATCAGTCAGTCTGCTCCTGCTTTTGCATCTGCCAAACAAATGTACCGTCATACCATCATAGTGAATGGAATATCCTTCTGTCTTTAATATCCTAAATCACCTACAAAAATCAATATTGATGTGGTAAAACAAACTAAAGTACTCATAAAATACATTTATTTCATTTCAAGAAAATCTCATTTCTAGAGAGAATGTTAAAAGGCGTTTTTTTCCTCCTGAATTTCAGATACAAAACAGAATCCGTTAAAGCTCACATTTTCAAAATAGTTTAATATCAAAGGTGATTTTATGAGGGCATGCTAAATAACAGAAACGTGTAAAGACCAAAAGGCTGGAGGAGGTGGATCACACCTGAACGCAGAACGTAACTCCATTCTTGTTTCTCTACCCAAAGCTTCCCTCTAGTGGTGAGATTGTGTACCTGCTGTTTAATGAATTTCCCTCTGGGATTAATACAGTATTTTTGAATTGAATTAAAAATTCACAGATTCTATCTTCACTTTATGTAATTATTCATAAATTAATCATCTCATCATTTTGTCATCAACATTTTTTTCAAACCCAAACACACTGTTAAAAATAAAGGTTCCAGTTAGAACCAGAGACGGTTTCTCACAGTGATGCCTTATAGGGGAACCTTCTTCGGTTCTCCAAGAAACATGTTGCCTATTGGTTCCTCACAGAACCATTTATAAATGGGTTCTTTGAGGAACTTTTATTTGGTTCTCTGTGGAACTTCACATATAGAACCTTTTAGGGTTCCACAAATAACCATTTATCAAAAGGTTCTATGAAGAACTAATTAAATTGGGTGCTTCAGAGAACCTAAAAAAGTTCTTTAAAGAACATCATTAGATTCTGTGTAGAACCTTAAAATCAGAACCTTTTAGGGTTCCTTAAATAACCATTTATCAAGGGGTTCTCTGAAGAACTAATTAATTTGGGTGCTTCAGAGAACCCAAAAAAGTTCTTTAAAGAGCAAGTCACCCCCTACAAGAAACTTACTTCACTCCCACTTCCTGTTTGAAAAATGCAACAAATGCTGTTGCTTGGCAGACCAAGAGGGCGGAACCGCTAACAAATACACACACTCACAGGCTCACAATGGCATTATGACATCATAATATACCAGATGACATCATAGCATACCTCTTAGCCAATAGCGGTGGCAGATTTAAATTCAAATACAGTGCAGAATTTTTCCCTGACGACGGCGCAACACTGACAGTTTTAGGCAGAATATTTGAATTTTAACCAAGATGCACTGAAGTGCCAAATTATTGACTACACGTGTCTACAGCATGATTAGACATTCCTTTATATAGTTTATCAGCAAAAAAAATGTGATTTGGGGGTGACTTGCTCTTTAAAGAACATCATTAGATTCTGTGTAGAACCTTAAAATCAGAACCTTTTAGGGTTCCTTAAATAACCATTTATCAAGGGGTTCTCTGAAGAACTAATTAAAGAGCAAGTCACCCCTTACAAGAAGCGTACTTCACTCCCACTTCATGTTTGAAAAATGCAACAAATGCTGTTGCCTAGCAGACCGAGAGGGTGGAGCCACTAACAAATACACACACAACATTGTGACATCATAATGTACCAGTTTACATCATAGCATACCTCTTAGCCAATAGCGGTGGCAGATTTAAATTCAAATGCAGTGAAGAGTTTTTACCCGACAACGGCACAGCACTGACAGTTTCAGGCAGAAAATTTAAATTTTAACTAAAATGCACTAAAGTGCAAAACTATTGACTACACGTGTCTGCAGCACGATTAGACACGCATTTATATAGTTTATCAGAAAAAAATTGTTGATTTGGGGGTGACTTGCTCTTTAATTTGGGTGCTTCAGAAAAAGTTTTTTTTGGGTGTACCAAGAACATGGACATAATTTGGAAAATGTTGAATTTATTATAGAATAGAATAGAATAGAATAGAATAGAATAGAATAGAGTCTCCTCCCTCCTCCGGTCAGCTCATGGGTCCCCAGAAGAACAAATAAATGAAAGCAAGGCCAATTTTTTGTCTGCTTTCCTCACGCCCTGAATCACACATTTGGTTTACTTCAATTGAAAGTTTCCACATCGTGCTATTTTAAAAACCTTTGAGAGCAAATCTAGGCACAGTATATGATAAGATATTACCATTGGCACCGAGATGGCATTTATCTCTAATTGGGCAGCAGTAGCTCAACAGGTTGAGCGGGTTGTCCAGTAATCGGAAGGTTGCCGGTTCAATCCCGGCTCCGGGATTCTGCTGTTGTGTCCTTGGGCAAGACACTTTACCCACCTTGCCTGCTGGTGGTGATCGGAGGGACCGTTGGCGCCTGTGCTCGGCAGCCTCGCCTCTGTCAGTGTGCCCCAGCGCAGCTGTGGCTACATCGTAGCTCATCACCATCAGTGTGTGAATGGATGAATGATACACTGTAGTGTAAAGCGCTTTGGAGTCCTTACTCTGAGAGGCGCTATACAAGTGCGGGTCATTTATCATTTATCATTTATCATATGCTGGTGAAGGTTCTCAGTCATCCAGGTCATGGTAATCCAAATGGTTCAAATGAATTTCAACTGGACTTCTTTGGTTTCTTGAAGATGTTTCGCCTCTCATCCGAGGATATAGACAATGCAAAGCAAAAGTTATTTGTTTTACTTGAATATAAAGGGTCCAGTGTTACTATTGCAGGGTCGCTCCTCTTGCTGCTGCTGATGATAATGGAGAGCAAGGCTGATCTCAGACTCTAACAAACCTGGTTGCCAATCAAAAAAGTAATATAAAAAATGAATAAATTGGTGAAAGTACTTAGAAATGTAAGACAGAAAAATCAGAAAAAATATGTGGCAGATAGACTGAAAGGTAATTATTATTAGGGCAGACAATGTTTTCATATCAGGTAAAAGAATGCAACAAAAATGTATACAGATAGGTGTGTGTGTGTGTGTGTGTGTGTGTGTGTGTGTGTGTGTGTGTGTGTGTGTGTGTGTCAACAACAGAGTAGTATTAACCTCACCAGCAACTATGGGGATAGATAGAACCCTTTCTTTCTTTCTTTCTTTCTTTCTTTCTTTCTTTCTTTCTTTCTTTCTTTCTTTCTTTCTTTCTTTCTTTATTCCATCCATCGATTCTTTTTACCATTTTCGGACTCAAGTCAGTAAATTTAAGTTCTTGGTCAGATTTTTGCCTGTTTGTTCGTTTCTGGGGATTTTGATACCGTCACTAGATTACGAGTAACAGAAATGCTAGTAAAAAAATAAACACACACACTTATGTGAAACTGGAAAATTTCGAATATTGCGCAAATGACATTTATTTCAGTAGTGCAACTACACCAAAAGACCATTTAAAGGCCCAGGAACCCTTTACAGGTGTTCTCTAGTTGCAGTTATAATGGGGGTGCATATGGGGTAATGACGTCACTTTAGCCTAATAAATGATAAATGACCCGCACTTGTATAGCGCCTTTCAGAGTCAGAGGACTCCAAAGTGCTTTACACTGCAGTGTATCATCCATTCACACACACACATTCACACACTGATGGTGATGAGCAGTGCAGCCCCATGCAGCTGTGGCTACACTGACAGAGGTGACATTTTCAGTGATTTCAGTTTTTTTTTCACTATAAAGTGCATTTTGTCTGTAATGCAGAAAGCGCTGAAACATGTGTATAGGACCCCCCAACAAAAGAAAAAGTAAATATGAAAACAATACTCTCCTTGGTGCTGAAACACCCACTTGGAGACATGTTTTAGCTGTTTAAAAATGTTTTTTTTGACTTCTGGGAATGTTAATTTATACTATTTGTGTCATATTTCATCCCCAAAACAACCAGTCTCGTTTCTGTCTCTTCTGTGTTTATTTGTTTATTATTTTATTTTATTTATGTATTGCTGTCTCGTGTGAACCTCTCGGTTGTAAACCCGAGCAGACAGCCTTCCGGCACGCAGCTGCAGCCGTGCCAGCCTGTGTCAGGGCTTCCTCCGTTTTGCTGCATTTTGATGTCGCGCCGCGGATGAAACCGACCTCTCGCTCCGATCTGGTCTCGTCAAACCCATTCAAAGTTGAACGATGGCTGACTGCGCGCGGTGGTTTAAGGCAGGTCTTGCGTTATTGTGTATTATTGGTGCAGCTGAATCTAAAAGGGTCGTCAAATGTCCTTCAGGATGCTCGTGCTCCAAGGAGAACATCATCTGCGTCGGGACCTCGCAGATTCCCCGAACCATACCGAGTGAGAGCAACTCGCTGTGAGTAATCGATTAGAGATAATCTGATAATCCAAACATCAGGCATTAAACGATGCTGCATTCAGAGAACAATTAGTTCAGCATGTTGTTTTGTCAACAGAAGCATAGTGAATGGCTCCATTGCAGAAATCTCAGAGGGGATGTTTGCACTCATGCCTTCTCTTCAGCTGCTGTAAGAGGAAATCTTCTCAGAAAACTGTGCTTTGTTGTTGCTTTTGTACATAATAAACTATAAATAACAGTGCAAACATTTTCTGGTAGTTGGGTGTGAAATTGTGAGCTTTTTGACAATTTATTTGAGTTTGTTTTCATGCAGGCTCCTTAATTCCAACTCTTTGTCCACAATTAAAGACGATGCTTTCTCCGGTCTGTCTCATCTGGAATATCTGTGAGTTTCTGACAAATAACCTGAAATTGAACTTTTCTGCAGGATTATGTCTGATAAATTCAGTCCTGATCTACACATTTCACCAGGGGTGTGTCCAGATCTTTTAAAAAGGGGTGGCCCAGGGGGGCACTTCTTTGTGTATGGGTGGCACCAGTGGTAAGGTATATTTAAAGGGAATTCAGTGGGGTGGCACCTGGGGTGTCCAATCAGATTCCAAGGGTGGCATGTGCTACCCCAGGCCACTCCCTGGATACGCCCCTGCATGCTGAAATGATTTTGTTTAAAAACATAAAGAGATCCACATCAGAAAAATGCATAAATCTAAACGATTTTCCCTCCTTGTTTGGACTTAACACAGATTTATCGAAGGAAACAAGATTGAAACCATCACTAAAAATGCCTTCCGAGGTCTACGAGCTCTGACTCATCTGTAAGTCTGCTCTGTTTTTCCTCAGTAATCAGGAAAAAGATTTGCTTTTTAAACACATGGAGGTGGGAAAAAAACCTGATACTGCAGCTTGAACATAAAATAGTCAGAGTCAACAAAAAAGGGCTTTTATTGTCTCCCTGTGTTGTAGCTCCCTCGCAAACAACAAGATGAGATTTCTGCCGAGAGATCTGTTCTTTGACTTGGACTCACTGCTGGAACTGTGAGTAAGCAGTTGTGGAGTCAGCAGTGTGTGTGTGTGTGTGTGTGTGTGTGTGTGTGTGTGTGTGTGTGTGTGTGTGTGTGTGTGTGTGTGTGTGTGTGTGTGTGTATTTGTGCTGAGTTCTTTCCATTACGCACTCCAAAAACGATCCATCTCATTTACTTTCTGCGACGGCCTGATCTTGCGTCACCCTTCTCTCACCATAAATCTTAGCTGACTGTTCCCTGTCTTGTGCATCAGAGATCTGAGAGGCAACGCGTTCCAGTGCAGCTGTGAGAACAAGTGGCTGATGACATGGCTGAAAAACACAAACGCCACAGTGTCAGATGTCTTCTGTGCAGGCCCCAGTGATATGAAGGGCAAGCGGCTCAACGACCTTCCCATTCCACCGGGCAAATGTATTTCTACAGGTAACAGAACGTGCACGACAATAGCGTGGGAGGCACACGCTCAGAGAAGTACAGCGTCGGAGGTTGGGAAAGGAAATCAATCAAGTTTACAGAATGCATCTAAAAACAGACTCGGTGTCAAATAACATGTTAGATTTAAATGTGCACCACACGTCCAAAAAAGGACATTGGTTTTTTTGGATTATAATGTACTCTTTTCCACTTTGACCTGCTTTGAATATTTGCAATGTGATTTAAATTTGAGAGTTTTTATGTTTTTGGTGTTCTTTCCAAGCCAAAACTGCCTAGTCCCCTTTAAAACATGAAAGACGGTGGAAATGTTGCAGTCCTTCATCCCTATAGAGGAGTGCATGTTCTCACGGTTGAATTAAACACTGTTGTTGTCACAAAAATACATCAGAAGATGGAAATTGCTCTGAGACATTATAGATTAATAATTAATGCTAAATACACGACCGGTACATTGTGCTGTTGGAAGCATTTGTCAGAGCGTGCAGACTGCTGAGATCACATAAACCGTTGGTTCAGTAACTAAGGCCAAAAAGGAAAATCAGCTCTACTTTTGTTGCATTGGAGTAAAAGCACACAGCCAAAAATGCATCATACCAAAGAAACAAACATGCAAATAAGAAGCATTGTCTCTAACAAGAAAAAGGGTTTTCAGTGCCAAAAATGTATTTAGAAGTTCCAGACCAGGGGTAGGCATCCTGCATGTTTTCCAGCCATGCATGAACTTCCATCCATCCATCCACCCATTTTCAACCGCTTATCTGGAGTTGGGTCATGGGGGCAGCAGCCTAACCCCGGCTTTCCACAGGAGCCGTCAGCAGCACGTTACTGCAGCAGCACGTCACAGCTGCTGATAGGAACCGTTGTGGTCAACAGAACCTTTTCCACTGGAGCCATCAGCAGCGCGAGTCGGCCGCGTCTCAGGAGCAGCATGTCGCGGCCTTTACGCGCCGGTTCTATTTTCTACGCGCGACGCCTCTGAAACGGGTCAAGTTCGACAATTTTGGGGAAGGAAAGACAGGAAATCGGACGCGGAAATGGAGAGAAGCTCCCGAGATTTTCAGAATAAAGAACGTACTGCCTTCCGGTTGCTTTACTTTTAAAAAAAGTTACTAACTGTGCGGCCCCGTGAGAAGTTATCACCTAGCTAGCGGTCTCCTTTGTTTTTCAGGTCCGTATTGGCGATTATAAAACGGACAGAACATAAAACACAAACCTTTTGGAGCCATGCTGTAATTTTGTCACGAACGTGCGTGCCTGGTGAGTGGAGCGGTCATCAGATGAGGATCCAAACGCGGGGAGGAACAAGGCGAACAGGTGAGTCTGTTTCACAAAGGTTTATTAGAAACACATGCTGGACACTGAAACAATGACACGACAGGGAACACAGAACAGAAGGGGTTTAAATACAAGAGGAGCGGGAGCTATGGTGATTGGGAAACAAGAGGCAGGTGGGAGCAATTAACGGAGAACAGACAAAACCTAAGAGTAGACAGGACAGGGCGTGACAGTACCCCCCCCTCAAAGGGCGGATCCCAGACGCCCACAGGAACAAGGAGCAGGGCGGGAGGAGGGGGACCCGGAGGGAGGGCCCAGAGGAACCGAGGGACCACAAGAGAGGCGGCAGGGATCAGCAGAGTCAGGAGGCCTGCGCCTGCTGCAGATGAGGAGGCGACGGGCCCTTGGAGGTCGGCGCCTGCTGCAGATGAGGAGGCGACGGGCCCTTGGAGGCCGGCGCCTGGGGCAGATGAGGAGGCGACGGGCCCTTGGAGGCCGGCGCCTGGGGCAGATGAGGAGGCGACGGGCCCTTGGAGGCCGGCGCCTGGGGCAGATGAGGAGGCGACGGGCCCTTGGAGGCCGGCACCTGGGGCAGATGAGGAGACGAGGACCAACCCTAGGGGGCCTGCGTCTGGGGCAGATGAGGAGACGAGGACCAACCCTAGGGGGCCTGCGTCTGGGGCAGATGAGGAGGCGAGGACAGGCCCTTGGAGGCCTGTGCCAGGGGCAGATGAGAAGATGGGGACGGACCCTTGGGGGCCTGCGCCTGGGGCAGAAGAGGAGGCGACGGGCCCTGGGAGGGCGGCGCCTGTGGTAGAGGAGCCCTGCAGGCTGGACCGGAGCGAACTTCAGAGTCACCATCAGAACCGGACACGGAGGAGACGTCAGACCAGATGCGACGTCATCGGACGAGCCGACTTCAGGATGGCAGGCGGCGACGTCATCGGACGAGCCGACTTCAGGAGTGGAGGCGGCGACGTCATCGGACGAGCCGACTTCAGGAGTGCAGGCGGCGACTTCATCGGACGAGCCGACTTCAGGAGTGCAGGCGGCGACGTCATCGGACGAGCCGACTTCAGGAGTGGAGGCGGCGACGTCATCGGACGAGCCGACTTCAGGAGTGGAGGCGGCGACGTCATCGGACGAGCCGACTTCAGGAGTGGAGGCGGCGACGTCATCAGACGAGCCAACTTCAGGAGTGGAGGCGGCGACGTCATCAGACGAGCCAACTTCAGGAGTGGAGGCGTCGACCCTTGGATTGGAGGCGTCGACCCTTGGATTGGAGGCGTCTAACCTTGGATTGGAGGCGTCGACCCTTGGATTGGAGGCGTCGACCCTTGGATTGGAGGCGTCGACCCTTGGAATGGAGGCGTCGACCCTTGGAATGGAGGCGTCGACCCTTGGAATGGAGGCGTCGACCCTTGGAATGGAGGCGTCGACCCTTGGAATGGAGGCGTCGACCCTTGGAATGGAGGCGGTGTTGACTTTCATCCGCTTCTGGTCCTCTGGCTTCTGGACCGCCGGTCCCCGAACCGCTGACCTCTGGGCTGGTAACGTCTGCTTCTGGGCCTGCACCAGACCCATCTGCTTCTGGGCTGGTACCGTCTGCTTCTGGGCCCGCATTGTCTGCTTCTGGGCCGGAACCGGAACCGTCTGCTTCTGGGCCTGCACCGTCTGCTTCTGGACCCCCCCTGGAACAGGCCTTGAGTGAACGAGCAGTGCTAGTGCTGAAGACAGGGAGCGCAGAGCGTCGAGTCGGAGCTGATTAGAATGGGCGCTCTGTTGAAGCCGGACCAGCTCAGCCCGTTGACTGGCCAGTTCAGTTGGCTGGACTGTGGGTGTGGCTCCACCTCCCACAGATGACAGAGGAGCCGAGTGGACCGGAGGCGGGACAGCTGGTTCAGCCGGAGCCGCGAACAGTTCGTCCAGCTGGAGCTCAGCGAGCAGATCGTCCAGCTGGAGGACTTGGAGTTCGATGGTCTGACGAACCTGGGCTGTTTCAACCTGTAGACTGGCGTGCTCCGCCCACAGGGCTGCGAGCGCAGCTCCTCCTCCTGCAGACGCCGATTCGGCCGGAGACGGGACAGCTGGTCTGACCGGGGGCGTGTCCGAACTGGCTCGCCGAGCACGGCCAGCGGTGGGCTCGCAGCTCCGTCCTGAAGCGCAGGGCTGCGGTGGATTCCGGCGTCTCTCCCCACGCCGTGGACCAACCCCGGGGGAGCAGAAAGCCAGCCTCGTGCCCTCGAAGCTGGAGCGATCCCGGAGCATCTCTCCCTCCAACGTCCCGTCCGGTTCCGGAAGGGCGGCGAGGAACGCCGAGGCAGAAGGTCGGGGACGCCGTCTGCGGCGAGGCGGAGCTGGAGCTGGGGAAGGAGAAGCCGGTCGATAGTCGGCGGAGAAGAACTGGAATAAATACTTCCATGGGAGGATCTCCCCGCTGGACCCTTCAGGTGGTCGTGTCATTCTGTCACGAACGTGCGTGCCTGGTGAGTGGAGCGGTCATCAGATGAGGATCCAAACGCGGGGAGGAACAAGGCGAACAGGTGAGTCTGTTTCACAAAGGTTTATTAGAAACACACGCTGGACACTGAAACAATGACACGACAGGGAACACAGAACAGAAGGGGTTTAAATACAAGAGGAGCGGGAGCTATGGTGATTGGGAAACAAGAGGCAGGTGGGAGCAATTAACGGAGAACAGACAAAACCTAAGAGTAGACAGGACAGGGCGTGACAAATTTTCTCCTGCTTGTTGTTGTGTTTACTGACGAAGTCACTCGTGTGACTTCGTGCTCTGTCGGTGACAGCTGCTCCCCTGCTTCTTCGCGTCTCGTGGGAGGGGCCAAGCAGCAGCTTACGCGAGCAAGACGTGCTGCTGCAGTAACGTGCTGCTGACGGCTCCCGTGGAAAGCCGGGGTAAGCCGAGAGGCCCAAACTTCCCTCTCCCCAGCCACTTGGGCCAGCTCCGCCGAGGGAATTCCAAGGCGTTTCCTGACCAGCTGAGAGAGTCCCTCCAGCGTGTACTGGGTCTTTCCTTGGGTCTCCTCCCAGTTGGACATACCCGGAAAACCTCTCCAGGGAAGCATCCAGGAGGCAACCTAACCAGATTCCCGAGCCACCTGAACTGGCTCCTCTCAATAGCTGTTTTTAGAGCACCGTAGCGTTTGCAAAACGGGATTTGCCGCGGCACCCTGGGGAGGATTTTGGCATTCATAGTAGCAAAGCTGAAGCTAGAACAAACTGCCATCAGGCACCTCTCAAACCAAGACGGGATAAAGGGAGGTCCCTGCAGACCCCCCACCCCCCACCCCACATGCGACATACAGGGTCGCGCATTCAGCGTCAGATGGAAGACACGTCAGACTGATGAAATTTCTTTTTCAGGACCTTTAGCTTTGATGTGACCTGCCTTTTGTCCCGCTTGACGCCCCACTCAGCCAGTGTTTTCACCACTCTGTCGAACAGCAGGCTGTCTCTCACCGTCCCCGTAAAAAGGCGACTAATCTGTTCGTCCGCTCGCACGGCCAAAAGCTCCATGGTCTCCGCGTCCGTCCTGTTTGCCATGTTGTAGGTGGTTGAAAGACACTAGTGAGAGGCCATGTTTATCTGTGTTTATATCCCTTCCGGCCGGCACTTGGCGCGCAGTATACGTCACTATTGCGACCACCCTCTTTTGCGGGGGGGGCCTCCCACAGTCGCTCCAAAGGGATTATCGGGGCTGACACGCGTTTCGCCGTCAGAGGCGAGGGGCTCATGCAGCAATATATCTACGAGGCTAAGCGCATCAGAATCGAGTTTTATCACCTTTCCCCTTTGCTCCTTGCCACATTTACGAGACCCACAAATTCGGATTTATCACTCCGTAATGACGCGGTGGTCTGTCTTATAAAAGAGGCTAATGTGGAGCGCATCTTCTCCGAGCCCCTCCCGGATGACCGAGCTTCTCACCCTATCTCTAAGGGAGAGCCCAGCCAGCCTACAAAGAAAACTCATTTTGGCCGCTTGTATCCGCAATCTCGTTATTTTGGTCTCTACCCAAATCTCATGACCACAGGAGAGGGTAGGAACGTAGATCGACCGGTAAATCGTGAACTTTGCCTCCTGACTCAGCTCCTCTTCACCACGAGAGATAGGTACAGCACCCGCATCACTGCTGACTCAGCACCAATCCGCCTGTCGATCTTGCACTCCATATTTCTCTCACTCATGAACAAAAACCCTGAGACACTTAAACTCCTCCACTTGCATGAACTTGCAGCTTCTAATTGGCTGAACACACCTGATCCAGGTAATCAACAACAACAAAGATAGTTGGAAAACAAGCAGGACTGTGGGCCTCTAGGACCAGGGTCGCCCACCTCTGTTCCAGACCCTTTTGGTGATCAAATTAATTGCTTGTTTCTTTTTCCAGACTTTGTGCGTCACCAGTCCATCCCTATTCAGTCTATGTCAGCAGACATCTTCTCCTTTAAAGATGACATCTTTGTAGCGCTGGCCGCCCCGAACTCCAACAGCTGTGTGATCATGGAGTGGGATCACATAGAAATGAATTTCAGAAAGTTTGACAACATCACAGGTTTGATTTTCATCCTTTAACTCATTCACTGCCAGCCGTGGCCTCATCACTAACGGCCTTCGCTGCCAGCGTTTCTCACCATTTTTACTGTTTTTTTAAGAGTCACAGAACGTTGCGCGCTAGGATGATGTCGATGCCAAAACAACCAAAACAAAGAGGAGACTCACCTCGTACATCAGGAAGAAGCCGCGTGTTTCGAGCGTTATCCGTTCTTTCATAATCCGTTGTCGAATTGTGATCGGCAGGCACTTTTCCAGTTCGCGCCTCACTTTTTTTTACAGGAGCGGCTCAAAACGATCTAACACAGGGGTGTCAAACTCATTTTAGCTCAGGGCCACATTGAGGGGAATCTAGTCCCAAGTGGGCCGGACCGGTAAATTAAAAAAAAAAAACTTTAAAAAAAAGTATGTTATAAAAAATCTGAAAAAAAAACTTTAATTATAAAAATATATATACTTCAGATTGTTTTCTTTGTTTTAATACAATCAATATAAAACAAGGCTGGAGCCTGAGGACAGTGTGGTACAAGTACAACACCTGAAGACTACTTGAAAATTTGAAAAAAAAAATCAAATAAAAAAAACATTTCTTAGTGATTCCAAGAGCTTACAGATCACATGGCAAGATCAGTTTCATGCAGCACTTAAAGTATATTTGACTCATTTTACTTTACATCTTTTAGCTTTCACCAGCACATTAATATTAGAAGTCACATCCTGAGTGGCGGCCAACTTCAGGATGGGATTCAAGTTCTTGTGTGAGCCTTGAGCGCAGCTTTGTTTTATTTATACTCATTACAGAGAAAACTTGCTCACAAAGATACGTTTATTTTCACTCTACATTGTAAAGTATGAAAATAAAGTTTACACAACCATCTCGCGGGCCGGATTTAACCCGCTTGTGGGCCGGATCCGGCCCGCGGGCCGCATTTTTGACACCCCTGATCTAACACATGGATGTTTTGCTTCCTGATTACGTGATGTGTGACGTATGCGGATGAAGATCGGCTTCAGGGCTGAGATGTTTGTTCTCTCAGCGCGGGGGCTCGTTCCGATGTTCAAACAGTAAAAAAATGCAAATGACGACTTTAGTCGTCATTGGCAGTGAACGGTTGGATCTAAAATGATGACTTTAGTCGTCAACGGCAGTGAATGAGTTAATATTTTACACAAAGCCCAATGATCTTGAAATTTGAATGCAGCTTTCAAGCATGATCACAAACATGAGGATATATAGCATGAGTCGTTGTCATTGAGACTTGCTTTAGTCTGGTGTAATTCAGTTACATCCACGCTGTTCTGATCTGTGACGTAAATAGCTGCTCCCATTGACTCCATTAGACCAAACTTGCTCTGTTTGAGGACTTTTGCATCATTCTTCATTAAAATAAACTTTCAGTAATGCGAGAATTCAGCTCTAAAGTTGAGCATAGCTGAGTTTTGCCTTTTTCATAAAAATTCAATCTGAAGTATTTTATTTTTTGAGCCTTGCTACCTCTAACAACGCCTTTCATCACAGGTAAATCTGTTGTGGGATGCAAGTCTTTCCTCATCGACGCGCACGTGTTTATAATCGTCACCCAGCTCTTTGGTGGTTCCCACATTTTCAAGTTTAATGAGCAACAAAACAAGTTCATCAAGTTTCAAACCGTCGAGGTCGTCAACATCTCAAAGCCAAACGACATGGAGGTCTTCCAAATGGACGGTGACTGGTACTTTTTGATTGTGGACAGTTCCAAGGCAGGCCTGTCTACTCTCTACAAGTGGGCCGACCAACCAGAGCGCAATGAAACTGGTTTCTATTCTTACCAGTTTCTCCATGAATGGTTCCGCGACACAGATGCTGAGCTTGTTGAGGTAGATGGGAAGCTCTATCTGATCTTAGCCAGCCGTTCCCAATCACCGGTCATCTACCTGTGGAACAAGGGCACCCTGACGTTTGTTGTCCACAGTGAAATCCAAAATGTGGATGACGTGGTGTCCGTCAAAGCTTTTCAGGTGGAAAGTGACTTGTTTTTGGCTCTGGCTTGTTACATTGGTGACTCCAAAGTGGTCAAGTGGGTCAACAAGCAGTTCACTGAGATCCTGGCTCTTCCCTCTCGAGGAGCAATGATCCTTCAGCCTTTTGCCTTCTCAGACAGACACTATCTCGCTCTTGGCAGTGATTACTCTTTCACACAGATCTTCCTCTGGGATAATGAGACCAAAACTTTCCACAAGTTTAAGGATGTTTATGTGCAGTCACCACGCTCGTTCACAGTGGTGACCACCGACCGCAGGAGTTTCGTCTTCTCCTCCAGCCTGAAGGGGAAATCTTTGGTGTTTGAGCACATATTTGTAGATTTAAGCTTGTAAACGACAGGATAGCAAAATCTGAGTTCTGATCGATTGTGTATGTTTGCTACAAAGGAATCTCACATGCTGTATAATCGTACTTATGCAATCAGACTGATTACTTTTGATTTGTTGTCTCTGCAGATTATAGAAATGTCAAGAGTTAACACAGCTTAAAGCAGATGCCTGGAAATTTACAGCAAAAGTGATCTTTGAAATCAAAGTGCATGAAAATAATGCCATGGCAAATCTGAGGAGAGCTGAGGGAAAGGAAGTTGATTCTGGCAATAACTGTTGGATGCTATAACTTGACTGTTTTGACAAATTAATGTACTTACTGCTCATTAAATGGGACAACATGCAGTCTTGCAGACAGAATGTAATACTAATTTCAAACTGGATTTGGGCAGTTTGTGGGTGTGCCTGTCTCTATAAACAAATCTTCTTCCCAAAGATATGAAGTGTTTGAGGATTGTGCCAAAGTTTCAGGTATTTCACTCACATTTGATCCACTAAAGAAAAGGAAAGAAACTGTGAACTCCAAAGCCATCTCCTCCCACTAACAAAATGCAAACATGGTTTCCCCCATCACCATATAAAAATGCAGTGGCTAAACAGAATGAGCCTAAACGTATATTAATGCTAAGTTATGATAATGCTACTGAGTGCCTGATTAATAGCAAAGTTATGTACTGATTATTTCTATGCAAAGTGTGTAAAACTGGGTGTTTATACAGAATTACATTCAAAGGTTTTGTGCTGATATGACTTGAATTTTCTTTTGGTGATGTTTCTATTAATCCACAAATGTGGGATTCTTCTTTTTGCAGATCTGTTTGTCTACAGTGTTTCTCACAGAAAAGTTAATGGTAATATTTTGAATGTTAAACTGAATTATTAGTCAGACAGGTGAAAACAATAAAATGACAACTAAGCAATTTGGATTTGTAATAATGCAACGTTTCTTCCAGCAGTTTTCATGTCTGAACTTGTGATAATATATATTTATCTGTATTGCACTGCATTAACCATGAAGCAACCATTAAAATCTTAAGTCCAATGTATGAGTTATTAAAGATCATTTGACTGACCTTGACGCTGATTTATTTTTACACACTCAAATGTACAGACTGTGCATCTGTTATGTTTTGAGGTGAGAAGAAAGCAGACAGGTGGTACGGAAATAACTTTATCCTTCAGGAACTTTAATACAGGAATGAAAAACATACAGGGTTTGTCAGGGTCATTTGCCCCACACGCTGGTGGGGATGAGCTACGATGTAGCCCCAGCTGCCCTGGGGCGCACTGGCAGAGGCGAGGCACTAGGCGGCTCGAACCTGCAACCTTTCGATTACAGGTCGTCACCCTGGGTATGTACTACCCCCTATTGCCAGGGAAATACACACAGTCACTTTAACCCAGGCACAAAGGCATACAAATCATTAAATGGCTATAACTTGTTTGTGTCTGGACATGTGAGGCAGTTGTTATTTATCTAAAACACAATTAAATTTGTATTTATGTGACAGAATTCTTATGTGGTGTCAGTGTCAAAGTGCAAAACCCAGCACGCCACAGTGTGCCACAAACTCAGTTTTTAATGCATATACGATAACTTTTCTGGAAATTATCAATTTTATTTATTTATTTATGTATTTATTTATTTATTTATTTATGTTTTGCCTTTTAAAGATTTTTGTTTATAAATTATTATATTTTGTTAATGTTTCATTTGTGTGGTATACGCAGTTTTATCCCACTTTATTTTTGCATTTATATTCATCAGCAACAAATAACTAGAACTTTTCTGCTAAAGAACGCAGGCTTGTAAGTCTTTGATTTACGAGTGTACATGAATGCATCATGACGTTCTTGTCTCGCGCTTACGTCGAGACAGAGCGGAAGTGATGCGAGTCGTGTCCTCCATCAGCTAATCCGTTCCAGCGATGGAAAATGTCTCAGTATTCATGCGAGCTCAGGCAGCGGAGCGGAGGTAGAAGTCAGCCGGTGTTTCGTTAGCCTCTAGCCGGTTATGAGATGGACTCGACCCGGAGGAGCGAGAGTGACTGGCAGGGTTTGCTCAGCGAGGTGACACGCGCGCGCGCATGTATCTGCACTAACAAACACTGACGGTTTGACAATTAAATGCTATGTGTCGTGGTTTGTTTTCGTTGTATAATGTGTTTGGTTGGATTCATAAAATAGTATTATAGAGGCCACAGAAACCTAAGCTGTCGCACTTTCATAACCATAAGGAAGTAGTTGTTTCCCCTTATACCTGCACAGAAACACACCTTAACCTGCTGACATCTTTACCTATAGCCAAGCACTTGGGGGTTTCTCATTTGAATTAATACATAATACAAACGACCATTTTTAGTAGAAATATTCCATTTTATTCCATAACACAAATCTGAGAGCTCAAGACATTGAGTTGACGTTAACATTATCTGTTTTATTAAAGGTCCCATATAATGAAAAATCCACTTTTGGAGACTTTTACCATTGTTATATTGTCATCTCCTCATGAGAAATACCCCAAAACCGTTTAACGACTGCATTCATGCATTTTCCTGTCTCAGCTACAGCTTAATAATGATAATAATAATAATAATAATAACAACACATACGTTTTATAAAGTGCTTTTCACAGCAACTCAAAGACGTTGTACAACTAAGAGACAGCCAAGACGAATAAACGCCATTCGAATAGGTTAATGTGATTTGAATGTTTGGTTGAACAGGTCAGTTTTTAGCGCTTTTTTGAATTTTTGCAGTGAGTCGGCGTCATAGATGTGTTGTGGGGGAGAATTCCATAAGTTTGGGGCAGCAACAGAAAAAGCCCTGTCTCTGATGGTGTAGTGCTTTGCCGTGGCTACCTGAGAGAGTAGGTTGGAGGCAGATGATCTGAGATGACGGGAGGGGTGGTAATGACAAAGAAGGTCAGAGAGATATGATGGGGCAAGATTGTTAAGAGCTTTGTAAGTGACGAGTAATATCTTGAACTGAATACGCTGTTGAATCGGAAGCCAGTGAATTTGGTTGATGTAAAGATTTTTCCTAAATGGAAGTAAGAAGCCCGCTTGCGTCGCCAGGCATTTCTCCTCCCCTTGAACCTGGTCTGGTCTTGATTCTGAAACTTGGATATTCTGAGAAATACCTTCTGCATTTGGGACAAAACACCGCCATATAAACCATGTGTCCTGCCTACTAGGAATGTAACAAAATATCGATTTAGCAATATATCGCGATATTTTTTCCTGTGATATTATATCGATGTTCAAAAGCTGTGTATCGATTTTTGGAAGAATTTACGTGCAAACATTTGTGTATTTTCTTTTCTTTTGGTGCAAATCAAATGCCGTCCGCTAGTCAGCAGTAGGGTGCAATGGAGTTAGTTTCCACCACTGAAATGTAAATCCCTCTATTATGGTTCAGATACCTCATGTTAATCGTGTTAAATATCAGTTTGGACCATTTATTGAATTTTCCTACAATAATTTTAGTCTAAAAAAACGCTATAATTGTCCGACTGAATGTATCGCAATATATCGCGATATATCGTATCGTCTCCCCTGTATCGTGATAAGTATCGTATCGCCAGAATTTCACCAATACACATCCCTACTGTCTACAAAGACGCACGTACTGGCCAACACAGGATATGTGTGTTAGGCAACTGTTATTTTGCAACAAACTTGGTAGTCCAGTGGGTCCAGTGCCAGGTCTGGTACTCTCCCCTTACAACTTCTCAATGTAACATAGGGACATTATTTTGTGTTTATTGGCTTTTCAGGAAAACAAACATGCAAACAAAGAGAGCAAGCTTTTTCGTGCCACCCATGCTGCTGAATTATTTTTAGTTGACCTTTTTTGATTAACATTTTCTAAATGTTTGCATTTCTGTGCAGTTCCTGGTCTGTAAGCGTAAACTGGAGAGTAAAAAAGATGCCCTCCTGATTCTGTCTAAAGAGCTGGACACCTGCCAGCAGGAGAGGGATCAGTACAAGCTGATGGCCAACCAGCTCCGTGAACGCCACCAGGCTCTCAAGAAGAAGTACAGAGAACTCATTGTAAGGACAGCTTTTAACAGTCACATGAAATGGGAGCAACTTGTATAGTAAAATATACACGTTTTCTTTTTCTTGTTTTGGATAAATCCTTCTCTACCTGTGGCAGTGTGCAGAAATGTAACATCATGATCCGTGAACGCAAGCGCTCTGCGGCAGGCCCACAAAGAGTGATGGAGACGCGGGCCCTTTTTTAACTGTTTGTTGAAATCTACGTAGAGCGCAAGCCCGTGATTGGTCGGCATGCCTCATCCTTTTAAGGCGTCTAGCGACAAACACGGATCAGATTGAGGAACATCTTGCAGAAGACGTTTGATTATGTGAACATTTATACAAGCTTCACGGGAAAAGACAAAGATGTGCAGCAGACTTGATGTTGTTGAAGGAAATGACAGGAAACTGGTTTGGAGGTGACGACAACATGACGAGGTGAAAAAGAATAAGGGACATATGTTTTTGTGTTAACAGATCTCTGAAATACATAAAGGCAGTATCAACATTGAAACAAATACGCAATAGTAAATACGTTGGCAGAATCCCTCAGGAAAGCCTTCCGCCCCCTGTTGTCCTGGCAGGGAATTGTTTTTCAACAATCTCCAGGCAACAAAGTCTGAAAGGAAAATGTCTCCATCAATGCCTCAGTTGTGATCGATTGCACGAGTTCCTTATTTAACTTGCGATTAATCGCAATTTAGTCGCAGATCATCAATAAACCATAACGTATTTTTCTTGTTTCGTGTTAATTAAGGGGAGAGTTGAACATGTGCTCATCGTCGCCTTGCATTCTGACCCTGGCTTTCCACCAGAAGTGAAAGTGGCGCATAACGAAACAGAGGTGTTGGTGGAAAGGAGACCGTTCACCATAACGGCCGCTAATTGCTGCAACGACAGTTTCACGACCGTTTTGCAACACTTTTACATCCAGTGGAAATCTGGGGTTATGTTTATGTTTATGTATTTAGCAGATGCTTTTGTCCAAAGCGACTTACAAGTGATGATCGGCATTTTGCCCTTGAGGCTAACAACAATAGTAACAACAACAAATTGACATCAATCATGGAGAGGAGGGAACAAGGAGTGGACAGTAGAGAGGGGGGACGGGTGCAGACAAGGTGCTAGTTAGGAAGATGCTCTCTGAAGAGCAGGGTCTTCAGGAGTTTCTTGAAAATAGAAAAGGAAGCCGCAGTTCTGGTAGTGCTTGGAAGGTCATTCCACGTTTGTGGAACGATGCATGAGAAAAGTCTGGATTGTCCTGAGCGTGGTGTAGGCACTGCTAGCCTACAATCCTGTGATGACCGGAGCGGTCGGGCCGAGACGTAAGCCTTTGCAAGAGGATTCAGGTAGATGGGAGCCGTACCATCTCGGACTTTGTATGATAGTGTTAGCAATTTGAATTTGATGCCTGTGCTGCTAGTGGTAGCCAGTGGAGCTCAATGAACAGAGGGGTGACGTGTGCTCTTTTTGGCTGATTGAAGACCAGATGCGCCGCTGCGTTCTGGACCATTTGAAGAGGTTTCACAGTACAGCCTGGAAGACCAGTTAGAAGGGCGTTGCAGTAGTCGAGGCGGGAGATGACAGTAGATTGCACCAGGAGCTGGGTGGCATGTTGTGTTAGGTATGGTTAGCCCACAGTCCTCGCTCCTATCAAGTTGACACACTCTGTGTTTAATGTGCACTAGTAGAACACGTGTTCTAGAACTGTTCAGAACCAGCGAGCAACGGAATTGTACTTATTTTTTAAATATGATCGGTCAATCATAGTTTCACATGCATGCCGATTCTCCTGCTAAAGCTGCAGAGAGATGATGGATAGGGAAACGCTTGGATTACAAAAGCCACACAGATCTACATCACAATAAAAAGTAGCATTCATGGACCCACCTATCTGTGCTCACGACGGAAAAGGCTGTTGTTGGTTTAGCGTTCAGGAGAGAGCAGAGCTCCTCCCGGCTTGTGGAAGCTAATCGTTAGCATTAGCCAGTGTTGGGAGTAACGTGGTACAAAAATACTTAATTACTGTAATGCATTGTTTTTTGCTGTAATGTGGTAATGTAAGGCATTACAGGGAAAGAAAATGGTAATATTTACTCGGTACAATTGTCAGTAACGCGTTAATTACAATGCATTTTTAAACCCAGAATCAAGATGTGGGTGTCCTAAAAATTCAAATTGCGGGAAGCCTGAAAAAAGATCCTGTATCTACATATATGACGTCATTTATGGACTCAGCTTTGCGAGCATTCTCTGTGCAGAGAGGACGCAGCGGTAATGGTTCAAATACTCCAGCTGTGTCCTGCGCGCGGCCGCTGCCATGTTCACAAAATCGCTCCACCAAAACAAAGTAATTCGTTTGCGATCGTTTATATCAGTCCATATTCTCTGGTACTTCATGTACTTTTCAGCTGAGTTCACAATCTGTGCCCCGGTGATTTCAACTCATTGCTGCTGGAGCGCAGCGCATATTAAGCTTTTTTTCTTTTTGCATTCGTTAGATCCCTTTGGCTGATTAGTTAGAAACTAGGAAATCTAGGAAACAGTTTTTCTGGAAGACGGAGAAAACATGCAGCATGCAGGAAGGTTAGAGAGAGAAAGGGCAGGACATTTTTCTAATAAAATCAAGAAAACAAAACAAAGTGCTTGAAAAGAAAAAAAGTAGGTAGATGTATCCCCAATACACATTTTTACCAGTGAAAGGCAATAAAATATAAGCATTTAATATTTATACATGTGATAGAATCAGATCACCCCAGAAGTCAGTCCCACATCCAGGGCCGTATCAAGGCATTTGGAGACCAAGGCAAATATGGGCTTGGAGCCCCCACCACCTCACTCCCTGCTCAGGTGGCCCTATAAGACGGCAGCGTGCTGAGAGTACAGATTGTTGTTGCTTTTATTTAATAAACAATCATTTTAAATCACTGTTATTATATCTAACTGCAATCCTAGCTCAGACACCACATCACTTTCCAGTTTCCACATATATGTCATGAGCTCACTGAGCGTCAGATTACCAGAGTCATAGTGAAGTTGTTTTGGTGAAAGTAACTTAAAGTAATGCAAAACTAGTGTGATTTTAAAATCATTAATATTGTAATGTAATGACTTACTTTAAAATGAGAGTAACAAGTAATAAATAATGTGTTACAGTTTTGAAGTGACTTGCCCAACGCTGGCATTAGCAACTCCACAACACATCAGAACTCCTCCAGGCTTTTGTTATTTGTGGAAATAAAACATCAACAGAGTCGGTGGTAGTCGCGTTGCTGTTAGCTAGTCAGTGGCGAGACATAGCAAGAAAGAATATTGAGTAAGACTCCAGATCCTGCAGTTTTCTGCTCCCCTCTCCTTCAACTAACTTCCATTTCCTGAAACAGGAACTCGAGAGCTTTATTTATACTAGAGACCTAGAACAAATGAATTGAAAAAACGAGTTAATGAGAGTTTTAACGTATGATAAAACATCTCTGGCAGCAGGACACGTTAAAGAGCAAGTCACCCCCTAACAGAGTCTTTCTCCACACCCACTCCATGTTCAAAAAATGCAACAAATGCTGTTGCCTGACAGACTGAGAGGGCGGAGCCACTAAGAAATATACACACACGGGCTCACAACAACATTGTGACATCATAACGTACAAGCTAACGTCATAGTGTACCTCTTAGCCAAAAGCAATGGCAGATTTTTATTCAAATGCAGCGTAGAGTTTTAGCTGACGACGGAGCAACACTGACAGTTTTAGGCCGAATATTTAAATTTTAACTAAGACGCACTAAAGTGCCAAATACCTGACTACACGTGTCTACAGCACAATTAGACAATCGTTTATATAGTTTATCAGCACGAAAAAGTTGATTTGGGGGTGACTTGCTCTTTAAAGAGCAAGTCACTCCATACCAGAGTATTACTCCACTCTGTTTGAAAAATGCAACAAATGCTGTTGCCTGGCAGACCGAGAGGGTGGAGCCGCTAACATATGCACACACCGGCTCACAAAGACATTCTGACATCATAATGTACCAGCGAATGTCATAGTGTACCTCTTAGCCAATTGCAACAGCAGATTTGAATTAAAATGCAGTACAGAGTTTTTACCTGACGATGGCACAATACTGACAGTTTTAGGCAGGTTATTTAAATTTGAACTAAGATTAACTAAAGTGTCAAATACCTGACTACATGTGTCTGCAGCACAATTAGACAATCGTTTATATAGTTTATCAGCAAAAAAAAGTTGATTTGGGGGTGACTTGCTCTTTAAGCATTAACTTGGTTTCAGAAAATGCTGATTCATATATTTTTTTTGGTTTTATAACCAACAGGATGGAGACCCCTCTCTGCCTCCTGAAAAAAGGAACCAAGTGAGTCATGTCCATCTGCTTCTATTGTTTCTGCAATACGGTTAAAGACATTGATTTCTGAGATGCATATAAATGTTTACAAAGACACTACTGGTGTCTAATTAGCTCACCCAGCTTGTCGTTGCTCGGTGATGGTTTTGCTAAATCCTGCTGAGTCACGGTGTCTCCTGGAAGAGCACCTGTGCGTTTTGCACATGTTGGTGATAGAAAACAGCGTTTTTACTGCGTGATCTCGTTTCTTTCTGTTGGTTTCTCCCTCCCAGGTGAATTTAGCTCAGCTGCTGAGAGATTCAAGAGAGAAGAACAGCCAGCTTTCTGATGAGGCCAAGGAGCTCAAACAGAGACTGGTGGAAGCTCAGGGTGATAACAAGGTACACCGCCAAACACCAGCAACAAGCTAAAAGGACAGAATTGTCCCCTTCAGGGGTCACCAACCTTTGTGTAGCTTAGACAACTATTGAGCCTAAAGAAGATGACATTTGAACTAATATAGGTTTGAGTTTAACTAAACTTCATGTATGATAAATATATATTAATGCAAGTGTGATAAGAAAGATCTCTCTTCTCTTTGGGCTCGTCCCTTCGGGGGGTTTCCACAGCCAGTCATCAGTCTCCATTTAGCCTATCTTCTGCGTTCTCTCCCCTCAACAACTAGCTTCATGTCTTCTTTCACCACATCCATGAATGTCCTTTCAGCATCTCGCTTGGTGGCTCCAACCTCAGCATCGTTCTACCTATGCCATCATTGTCCGTCCTCTGGACAAGTCCAAGCCGTCTCAGTCTGTGCTCTCTGACTTTATCTCTAAAACGTCTTAACGTGAGCCATCCCACTGATGGACTCATTCCTGATCCTATCCATCCTTGTCACTCTCAAAGAGAACCTCAACATCTTGAGCTCTTCATCGTCCAGTTCAGTCCTTTGTCCTCATGGACACTGGCCGTTTCTCAATATGCTTACTTGTCCGAACTTGTGTCCTTGTGAAACGTCATCAACGATGACCCAAGGACTGTTTCAATCCTAAGTATGCGTAACGGCAAATTCGCTCAAAGTTCCCGGATGTGTCCTTGCTCCGCCCATAGGATCGAGGACGCATCAATGCATCCTTCTGCGGACTTGGGACAGCAAAGTTTCCCACAACGCATTGCTTCGCAAACCTCCAAACATCAGAGGAGAAAGCTAATAATTGTAATGTTTTATATTAGAAACATAAATAAAATGTTATAGAGGTGTCTGTTGTAAATAATCGTGTGTTAACTGTAAATTTTTGCTGTGTGTTTTTGGGTTTCACTCGTCATGATCCTTCAAAATGCTAATTAGCTAACCCACTATAGAAATAAAAGCACCGTAGCTCTGTTCTGATGAAAAGTAAAGTATTTTTTTATTACTTTTATTGAGAAACTGAGTGCCGCCGTGTGTGACATCTGCGACGCTGTAGTTTTAGCTGTAGTGAAAATGGAGCCTGGCGACAGCGCTAACGTCTTTGTTTAGAATAAATGCTTTTAGCGCTTCTACTTGTTGTGGTTTTAAAGACATGTTCAAATCATTTAGAACAAAGGAAAGAGCCGCAGCGAACTCCACTTCAGTCACCATGTTAATGATAAACTCGGCATTGTGGTGTGTGACGTACGATACTCAGCGCTGATTGGCTCGGTTAGAATTCTCACGGGGTGGGGTTATTTGAATAGGAGAGAGAGTTCCCAGACCCTTTCTCTGTGCAGAATTAAACAGAGGAGGAGTCTGGCAGGCCAGGCTAGGAGGACTGACCCATCATAAACCTTTGTCGGCTGTGCTGAAGAGAAAGCTACAGAACCAAATTATTTAATTAATTAGCTGCGTGTTCTCCTGTCCTCTGTCCTCCGGGACACACACACACACACACACACACACACACACACACACACACACACACACACACACACACACACACACACACACACACACACACACACACACACACACACACACACACACACACACACACACACACACACACACACACACACACACACACACACACACACACACACACACACACACACACACACACACACACACACACACACACACACACACACACACACACACACACACACACACACACACACACACACACACACACACACACACACACACACACACACACACACACACACACACACACACACACACACACACACACACACACACACACACACACACACACACACACACACACACACACACACACACACACACACACACACACACACACACACACACACACACACACACACACACACACACACACACACACACACACACACACACACACACACACACACACACACACACACACACACACACACACACACACACACACACACACACACACACACACACACACACACACACACACACACACACACACACACACACACACACACACACACACACACACACACACACACACACACACACACACACACACACACACACACACACACACACACACACACACACACACACACACACACACACACACACACACACACACACACACACACACACACACACACACACACACACACACACACACACACACACACACACACACACACACACACACACACACACACACACACACACACACAGTCTCAGCTGTTATTTTCGTCAAGGAGTGTGCACGTGCAGCATGCGCGCCTCGTGCACGAGCCTACTATTGAAGCTGCCGTTACACTTTTGGCCTGAGGGGGCAATCGCGAGCATAAAAATTCAAAAATTCAAAAGTCCTTTTAAGTCCTTAAAGTCCTTCTTCTACGCCCTGTATCATCACCGTTCCTCTTGTGTCGCTCTCATCCACACACAGACATTCAGACTTGCTGTGACTAATCTTCATTCCATTCTTTCTCCTAACATCATCTGTCCAAGCAAACATGACACAGTCCCACCTACAGCACGCCACACTGCAGCCGCACAGCTCTCATACATGACCTTCTCTGTTGTTCTCCATCTGCACCCTTAAAGCAAAAATAGTATCCGTAGTACACTTTCATGGCGTCAAACCATAATGATGCTCACAAATGTTCAATTCTGACCTCACTCCAGTTTCCACCACTCTTTCCCAGAGCTTCGTTGTATAACTCATTAGCTCTGTTCTCTGTATGTACACCATCTCTGCTGCCACGGTTTTAATCCCGTAAAATGTGCTTTAAAATAGTAGAAAAAAATAATATTAGATTTTGCCTGGGGACACCAGGTTAGTGACCATTGGTATGTTCTTACTGTGTTTTGTTTCGAACTGCATTTTCGTTGGCAAACGAAAATGTCATCAAGGTAAAATAAAAAATTTTCTGTGTTTTAAAAATAATCATAAAATGCAGGTTGGTGACCTCTGGTCTAATTGGTGCGGAGCTAATGAGTAGAATGAATGGCGGATGCTTTTATTTTTTGCAGCTCCTACGGATGACCATCACGAAACAGAGGCTGGGAGACGAGGACGTCGGAGTTCGACACTTTCCTGCACACGAGCGGGAGGATCTGGTCAAACAGCTGGAACAGGCAAGAGAACAGGTGAGAATCAAAGGCTAGATTCATGTATTCATCTAATGAGCAGTCATGGCTTCATCTGTGACATTTCGAAATATATTAAAGCAAGGCAAGTTTAGTTGTTGTTTGAAACCGTGTATTCAATTTTAATATCACTGGACACATCTCTAAGTTCAGTAGCATTTTGGGTGGATTCAAATAAAAACAAGAGCAGTTCTGTTTTCCCATATTAGTGTAAAGTACTAATATACAAATAGTACTGCATGTTTTTAACGTTGAAGCAAGTAAAAGCTATAAAATCCCTATGACAGTAGATGGAACCATAATCGTGTGTGTGCTTATCGTGTGTGTGTGTGTGTGTGTGTGTGTGTGTGTGTGTGTGTGTGTGTGTGTGTGTTTGCTCCAGAACGAGGTGCTGGAGCACAGCGTGAAGTCTCTGACCGATGAGCTTCAGGACGTTCGAGCGGAGCGGGACGTGTTCCAGCAGAAGGCCCATCGGCTCAACGTTGAAATGAATCAAATCCTCGGGAACGATGAGATTCGAATTCTAGACATAGATGCTCTCTGTATGGAGAACAGGTTGGAGGATTTTTATTTGTCTTAAAGAAAACCTTATAACTGAAACCTCAGATATCTTCTAGATCAGTCAGATTTGTAAATCAGGACCGTCGCTGCTAAATTTAGAATATTGAGCTTCAAACCTGTGGTATCTAGATTGTTTTCTTACCAGATGTTTGGTCTATAAACTCAATATTATCCATACCAATGCTCATGAATTTAACATCTTACAGGTATTTGCACGAACGGCTGAAGCAATTTCAAGAAGAGGTTAATCTCCTCAAAAGTAACCTGGTAAAATACAAGGTATCTACTTTATTTTGTTTTTATTTAGTCCCATTTTATGTTTATGTTCTTTATAAACCATTTCCTGATAATAGCTTATTTCATTAAAGACCAAGTTCACTGAGAAACAGTTTTTTTACTTGTTATTTATAAAAATATGATTGGTCACTCTGAGTTTGACATGCAGGCTAAACGTGAAAATGGTCTTCTGCCCCACTTCCTGCATCAGCCGCTGACTGAAGATAGACGGGGAAACGCTCAGATTAGAAAATCCTGTCAGGTCTCCGTCACATTGAAAATTAAAGTTAACGGACTCGCCCATCTTTGCTCACGACGGGAAACAGCAGAGCACGTCTCAACTAGTAGAAGCTAACTGTTAGCATTAGCTACTTTGCAACACAATAGAGCTCCTCCAGGCGTGTGTTGTTTGTGGAGTGAAAACATCAATGTTGCAACGCAAACAGCGTCAGTGGTAGAGTCGCGATGCTGTTAGCCATCAGAGGCGAGATGTGCAAATATCAAGAAGACTCTGAAACCTGCCAAGGCTGCCAGCTGTAGAAGTCTTCCACGAGCGAGAGTGGGTGGGGTGGCTCGTGCCGCCCCCATCTGCTGTCCGGAGGGGGGTTGTTGCCGTTTCTGCGTATTTGGAGGTGTGGCATCAGCAGGTGGGAACGGGGTCAGATGCGCGTGTCTTAACGCTCGGTGCGTGAGAGTTGGCAGCCCTGACCTGCCATTTCCTGCTCACCTCACCACTTCTACTTCCTGAAACAGGCGCGCCAGAGCGTTTGTCCCCACAGAGAGACCACTGCAAATGTATTGGAAAATGAGTGAACTTGGTCTTTAATAAAAACTTCCAACTCTCCTGATGCATTCCAGAGTGCTCTGGAGAGTCGGAAGAACTCTAAAATGAGCGGCAGACCCAACAGCAGTGCTCTGACTGGGGTGCTTTCAGCCAAACAAGGTCAGAAAACTCATTTTAAGACTTCTTTCTTGCTTTTGTTAATGGTCTGTAAAAGGCTCTGGTGCATATTTAGTGAAAACCTAATGGGTTTTTGCAGTGAAGGAGCTGTTGCTGTCGGAGGAAAATGGTTGCAGTTTGCCTGTGACTCCTCAGTCCATCTCTGACCTGAAATCTCTGGCCACAGCTCTGCTGGAAACGATCCATGAGAAGAACATGGTGATCCAGCACCAACGGCAGATCAACAAGTACAGACACTCGTACTGAGCTTCATGTTGTAGGATCAATAAATGGATTTATTCTGACACATTCATTATATATTTCTCATTAGGATACTTGGGAATCGAGTATCCGAGCTGGAAAAGAAGCTCAAAACTCTTGAGATGTCTGGATTATGGAGCCTTCCAGGTGGATAGAAGTGTCTCAGTGACACATTTTTGTCTCTGGGCTTTGATCTGAACTCTGCTTACAATCATTTCTTCTTCTCCTGATCTGTTTTTCTTCTTGCTACCTGGAGGCCTGACTTATAATGTATCCCTGGGGGTATTTGGAAGTATGTTCCACCAATAATCAAACTTTGAATCTTCATTTCTTCTCGATTTTCCAAAATGTATACATTTTTATGTCGTTTTATGCTTTTAAGTGTTTAAGACAAAAGATTTGCTTTGGATGTTTTTGTGATACTAGGAGGGAAAGACGCCATCATCCTGAACACACACAAACCTGAACAAGTGGAATTTCCTGGACAAGAAGGTGAATATTCAATGCTGATCTGTGTTTTTCTGTCTTTACTCGCCTGGTGCGTCGTGGTTGCAGACGTTTAATGTCCGTTCTGTTCTTGCAGGTGTAAACGATTCTGAAAACACTGAGAAAAACTCTCCAAATGTTCCAAACCTGGTCAGTGAATCCTCAGCGGTGAGCGATTTTCAGGAAGATGCATCGTCACCATCTGTTAGGGAAACATCGCAGCAGAACGAGTCTGAGGAAGAGCCAGCTTACCCTCAAGCTGAAATTATAATCGATGAAGAGCCTCATGAAAGTAATCAATCACAAGCCAAAAATGATTCCGCTGCTTCATCAGCGGAGGATGCGTGTCTCAGTGGCTCCACCCCTGATGTGGCAGACCTGGGGGAGGTCCATCCAGCATCAGATCTCTGCCAGAGCTCTGAGAGCTCTCAGCCAGTCAGACAAGGAGATGAATCCAAAGAAAGCACTGGAGAACTGGAAAATGTCAAAATTTCTATCACGAAATACGAATTTAATGAGCGAGGTTTACACACGGTCGTCTCAGAACAGCAGCAGGAGGTCCTCCAGTCGAAGCAGGAGGTGGATATCGGTGACCGTCGGGATGCACAAAGTCTTCCAGGAGACGATCACCTGTTCCGTGGCGATTAGAGAATGAGATACCGTAAATCCTCTAATACAGGCCCGGGCCTGTATTTTGACTCAAGCTCATCAAGCTCCGGGCCTTTATTGGAAGGAGGGCCAGAATTAGAGGCAGGCCTCTATTTCTATTTGAGCAAAATGAACTAATGGTTCGCTGGAGTTTTTGACAATTAATATTGCGCCCACATTTTCAAAGTTAAACACATTTCTTTTAACAACGGTAGTTTCTGCTTCAGCCATTCCCCCCCTCCCCCTGCTTCAGCCCCCTCCCCCCTCCCCCTGTGCAGCGGCCGCAAACTCACTGATGCGCCTGCAGTCTCTCGGAGTTCCTGCTGCTCTAAACATTAAAATAATTATTTCATTTTCTGTTCCTCACTTCTGATGACCTTCAATGGTGTCTGTTTGTTGCAACCACCAGGTCCAAAAACTAACTTGTTTTTATTTGACTATTTTTCTGTCCTTTCTGTTTATTATCTTCCTGCATCTCCTCTCAGTCCTAAAGAAAACTGCTACCTGGCTTCATATATATTCACCTCATGAGTTACCTTTGAACTGCAATTCTAAAAGATCTACCGACCACAAAAACAGCGGAGCGCTCGCTGCTTGGCGGCCACATCAGTGATCGGTGCATCACCGGAGGACAAGTTGATGCGCCCCGCTCCAAAGCAGCGAAAACACATCAGGCACAAATAAAAGACAGAAAACATTAAAGGAAATGAGCCGACATGGACGATCGCGTGTCAGTACCGACGCTCTGGCACAGCGCGTTGCCCCCCCCCCCCGAGCGCAGGAGCTTGTCACCTGCTGACAGCAGGCTGCTGTCTTTTCCGAGGGCTGCATCTTGCCGGTCATTATCACGTGACAGCGACTAGTCGATGACAGGCATAAAAAGTCACTATAGTGAAGTCGACTAGTTCATACAACCCCTACTACTGCTCCCCAGTATTCTGCAGCGCACGTTCTCTTTGAACTTGATATCAAATTTTCGCATCCTCTTCGTCTCCGCACGGTTAAAGTTACCCTCGCGGTCTATCACTGGCAAATCAAAAGTGAGACGATGACATAACCGCCCCCCGTACTTGCTTGTTACCACATTCCACCCGGCCACAATAAGAAACCGGCCATTATTCACCTCCGCCAACTCCGGCACCGGCCAAAATATGAGACCCGGCCGTTAATTGAATACAGGCCTGTATTAGAGGATTTACGGTATCAAACAACTTTTCCTGCCGTCCTTCCAGTAGCTTCACATGTAAAACTGCACGTCCAGCACAGGGAAAAAAAAAGCCACACATCCTGTCTGCAGGACTTCCAAACAGCACGTCTGTGTGTCATCAGCTCCTCAGCACAAAAGATGGAACACAACCGCCGCCGCAGCAGATTTACTTCTGAAAATCACAGAAGAAGCTGGAAAATGAAGAGTCATTCTGTAATTGTATTAAATTGTGATTTTAACTTTAAACTCTAGGTACACAGATTAAAATTTAGTTTCATAGAGAAACAAACAAAAAGAAACCAATTCAAAGTGATGGTTTTATTTATTAGTAAAGTTTTTGTTTAATTTATTTATTACTTGTGTAAAATCCAAGAAATTTGATATTAACAGAAACTTAGCTGCATCAAACATTATTGAAGGTATCTATTTATTTTCATATTAAACAAAAACATCCGAGCATTTTTTACAATTACCATTTGATGTTTTTAATTTTCGTTTGAAAGGGAATTTTGTCATGAAATTGTATCTAAAATATGTACAGATGTTATTTTCACACATTTCTAAGCACTGCTTCATCACATAATGTTTAATTCATTAAAGTTATTGAAGAACCTTCTGTGTCTCATGCTGCCATCGTTTAAAGGTTTTATCCAGAAGAAGTATTTGTTGCAAAACAGGAATTTTGTTGGGGAAAAAAACTCAGGACTGCATGTTTACGCAGAGTCACAACAGTCATTCACACACACACACTGGTGTTGATGAGCTACATCGTAGCCACAGCTGCCCTGAAGAGCACCAAAGGAAGCGAGGCTGTCCAACACTGGTGCCATCGGCTCTTCTGACCACCAACAGCAGTAAGTGAGCGTCCTTCCCAAGGACACAACAGACTGAATTGGACATTGTAGTCATTTTTACATTTTATTTAAAATGTAAAAATTCAGCCTAAAACTAAATAACGCGCCCTCTTCAGGTTAAAACTACACTGAATTTGAATCCACCATTGTTGATGGCTGAGGGGTACAAAGTGACGTTGCAGATATATTATTTGGCTGCACTGGACGGCAGCCGAGTCTCGGACACGCCATCAGCCGATATGAAACTACGGCTCAGAGCTGCTTGCCTCTTTAACAGAGTGTCCTTCCTTTCTAGTGAACAAGGTGAAAGGAGTCATCCAGACTTTTAAAACAAGAAATGTGACCGAAGCTTCAAGAGTTCCCCCAGTAAGCTGTCATTAATCTGGGGTTCATTGTGCCGTGTTGCTGGGGTGTGTTTACTGGAGCCATGCTGCTAAATAAGGACGTGACCATTAAACAAAGGTCATCCTTTATTCAGCTGTTAAATGTAACATCTCTTATTGCATCAGTGCAGGATGTGATTTGTTCCATATGTTTATAGGAGTCTAATACAAATCTGTCATGCACAAATACATCAACAATGTCCTCATTAAAACCACCACTAAAGTGGTTTTTGGCTTAACGCTTACATTTTCCTGTCTCAGCTGCAAATCCTCTGCTCGTCTGCCCAACTGTTGCAAACAGCAGGATGAGGCCAGTTTGCAACATCAACCAGTCATCATATAAAATGGGAACAACAACAAAAGTGTTGAATTTGTGTTTTTTTTTTAAGTAACAAATTGACTCAGAAATGTAACAAGCATCCCAGTGACCCATACTGGTCCAAAGCAACGCTGCACTTTTATATCTGAGGTAATAAAGTGACAATTTGCAAATAATACATCTAAAAAATGATCTATTACACACATATTTAAAAATATATATACTTTTTTATTATTTAAATGCAATCATACAGCTAATCTTTCTGTGTTTAAAAAAGTATATAATTTCCAAATTTTTTTGTTAGCAACTGATGCAAAGTGCATTTTGATCATAATGTTAAAATTCCTAAAAAGTCATTGTGACGTCATCATTTTAAAAATATATACAAATATTGTACTTACTATAGGCTAGCATAATTATAAAAATACTCTATTTTTTCACATGACAAATAATGATAGATGTTTCTTTCATTATAATGTCAAAAACAGTTTTTTGTAGTTATTTCACGATGAATTACTTCATGAAATATGAAACTAATAAAATATTTAGCTAGTATTTTTTACGATTTCAAGGCACCATAAATTTATTATTGGATTTTTAAATTAAATAAAGTGCTATGAAAATAAGTGATACTGTTATTTTTGTAAACGTTTAAAATTGCACAAAAATAACATAAAATTAAAAGTTTTTAATATGCATCCTAATGCCATCCATCCGTCGCGGGGGCAGTAGCCTAAGGCGAGAGGCCCAGACCATCCCCAGCCACTTGGCCAGCTCCTCCGGGGGAATCCCAAGGCTTTCCCATGCCAGGTGAGAGACATGGTCCCTCCATCGGTACCCCATACTCCCGGAGTACCCCCCACAGGGCCCCCTGAGGGGCGCGGTCAAACGCCTTCTCCAAATCCACAAAACACATGTAGACTGGTTGGGCAAAGTCCCACGCACCCTCCAGGATCCCCCTAAGGGTATAGAGTTGGTCCAGTGTTCCACGGCCAGGACCAAAACCACATTGCTCCTCCAGAATCTGAGGTTCAACAATCCGATGGACCCTCCTCTCCAGAACCCCTGAATAGACCTTACAAGGGAGGCTATTCCTAATGATTATTTTTAAAGTAATTTTACACTCTGTCATTCTTTAAGTGCTTAGGACGACAATCTAAACAATTAGGGACTTTTTGGTCTATAAAAATAAAATCTACGGTCTGTATTTTGGGAATCCTGAGGCCCTTAGATTCCTAAACCTGTGTTTGGATGTCCACCATCAACACTGCGAGTGCTGACACACAGAGCAAAAGGGCTGGGAGCCAGAGTCAGGCCGAAGCGACCATGCAGAGATGGGCGAGGTTTTCCATCCGGGAGTCTGAATCTGAAGGCCTGCAGTAACCCAGTGACCGTCAGGAAGAGCTCCATTTTAGCCAGCTGCTCACCCATGCACACCCGACGACCTTGGAGATACACGAGGGACATCATTAGATCTCTACACATAAATAAACATGTCTACAGATTGTTGCAGGCAAAGAGCGGAGTACCAATCCCAAATGGTATGAAGAACTCCTTCCTGAGCAGTTTCCCACCATTGTCCAGGAACCGTTTGGGATTGAAAGTGTCGGGGTCGTCCCACACAGTTGCATCTCTATGGACTGAGTACAGGTTGGGCAAAATAACCGTTCCCTTTGGAATAGTAAAGCCTCTGAACTCTAAAAACATAACAAAAACAGACTTTTTGATAGGAATGGATCATGAGCGATGTTCATTTCCTCTAAGATTCAATGCATCTGTCTAGATGAGAAGTGCTGATGGTCAGGTTTTTGTTAATCACCCGTTGTCTCTGAGACCATGTGAGGAATGCTGAGTGGCACCACCACAGCCAGACGCTGCACTTCCATGATGGCGGCTTCAGTAAAAGGCAAACTTCCTTTATCCGTCATAGACGGGACTCGTCTGCCCACAATTTCATCAATCTCTGCCTGGACTTTGTCTACAATCAAAAACAAACAAAACAAATCTGTTATAATGAATTAACTAATCATTTCTTTAACGTGAGCACAAATCACAAGTGTTTCCGGAACACATAAAGCAAACCACAAGAAAGTTAAAATTATATTTAAGAAAAAAAAATCTAAAAATTCAAGAATGAGATTGCCAGACTGTCTGAAACGTGGTTAACGTGAGCGGCCCTAAAACCAGGACGTTTTGGTCACAGCAGTTTCCAAAGCTGATCTACAGTAACTCACTTTATTAAAAAGTTGCATAAATATAAACACACACACACACACACACACACACACACACACACACACACACACACACATTTACTTTACATATAAATAGGTATATTGTGTAGCGCTGGTATTGAACTAAACTGTTAATGCTGCAATGGTAAATTCTGCAAAACAAGCTAGCTTTTAAAGGGATATTCCACACCTAAGTGAAATTTGGTCTAGTTCCGAGTTAGATTAGTGGGAAAAAAGCATTTTGTAACCAGTGCAGTAATTCTCCTGATCTGGCAGCAGTCTGTCTGCCTTAGCTTAGCGTAAACAATGGAAGTGAATAGCAGGAACTAGCATTTTGTGTGCAAAAGTCATTAAAATGACCCAATAATGATACCAATTATTCCTGCTGAGCTCAATAATCATGTCGGCTGCAAGTGAAAAGTAAAAAGTAACACGAAGGATTTGCAGGAGATGATTTAGACTTGGGACTACATTACGACAAAGCACCGCTGTAAGCCGATGCCTCATGACTGAGAGATGGCGACTGACTGTATACATTTGTCTAAAGTTGAAAAACTACAAATTACATAAACTTATGTTACATATTTTCCCCTCAGGAATTAATAAAGTATTTTTTATTTGTTAACATATAAATTTGTTTTACTAAATAAAATCTGCCTGTGTGACCTCAATAAAATACAGGAACACAGCATGTGCCATCCTCTAGACATTATCTAACGGACAAGGACCTCTGTTGCATGTTGCAAATCAAAATTTATATTAATGAGCAGTTTTCACTCAGCTGCATTGAGAAACCTTTGTAGACCTGACGGTGGATATCTGGAATACATGCGATGAAGTCAAAATGGATTAACTGTTACACAAGTCATCAAAAATTAATAATCAGTCAATGAAAGTTGCACAGTCTGTTTATCCGGGATGCCCAGGGTCATGTTGATGTGCGGTGTGTAAAGTCCAAACCACTTGAACTACTGTTGCTTTTACCTTGAACATCAGGATATAAGGCCAAATAGAGCAGAGTCCATAAAACTGAATTGGTTGTGGTGTCAGTGCCAGCAATGAAGAGATCTCCAATGATATAAAAGAGATAATCCTCATTGAAGCTGCTGTTCTCCTCTCCTGCAGCATGCTGCGCCAACATCTCAATAAAGTACATGTCTGCGAGATCCCTCGGCTTTTCCGCATCCAGAGTCTTGCGATGATTAGTGATAATCCTCTTGAGGAATACTGTGATGTCTCTTTCTACCTGCCGCAGCTCTTTGAAGACCCCAAAAGGCAAATAGTAGAGCAGAGGGAAGGCATTGATGAGGACTGCGGGGCTGTTGATGCAGATCTCCAACCCACGTGACATCAGGCTGAGGATGGCACGAAACTCGGGGTCCTCGTGGTGGAAACGCTGGCCCAGTATCATCGAGCAGATGACGTTTGACACGGCATTGCTGATCAGAGGATGTAAGTTCACACCTGCATCTCCATGCTCTTTGTTCAGTCTCAGGAGCTCTGCTTTGATGGTGACCAGACCTCGCTGAATGCAAGGCTCCAAACTCAACTTTCCGAGGCCAAAGTTTCGGAGAGTACTGTGGCAGAACTTACGTTGCTTTCTCCACACTTGTCCATAGGGTGCAAAGACTATTCCTGAAATTAAACAAAAAAATGGAAACGGCTTAATGTGTCTTAGAAAACTTCACTAAATGTTAGCTACCGAGAAAAAGCAAATTATAAAAACCTTCTTTTTAAAACAGATCACAAAGATTTATTGATTCAATAAATAAAACTCAGGTTCATTAAGTATAAATTATTGGTACGCATATCTTCTGAACATATTCAGCCTGCATATATTTATGTGAAACATGGTGGTGGCATTATAATAGTTTGGGGCTGCATCTGTGTAGCTGAACCAAGATTTATTTGACACTTTAACCAAAGTAAGTGCAGTCTAAATGTGAGTGTTTAGTGTTTCACACTTTAAAATGTGAAATGAAAAAGTTGGGAATCAATTGCGAGCAACGCACCAAAATACCCAAGCTCGTCCATCCGAGGTATTTTCGTATTCGAATGTGAAAATTGCGAAAGGGTAATTCCTACTAAATCTTTAACTCCCTTCAACTCCTTAATCAGCTTGAATTTTAAAGATAAAATGACTTCCTATCTCTGGCTCCTTCAAAGGCAGTTCGAAATCTCGGTGTGATTGATGAACACCTGACCTTTAAAGATCATGTTTTCTCTGTTGCTCGTTCATGCCGCTTTGCGCTGTATAACATACGAAAGATCAGACCATACCTAACACAACATGCCACCCAGCTCCTGGTGCAATCTACTGTCATCTCCCTCCTCCATTACTGCAACGCCCTTCTAACTGGTCTTCCAGCCTGTACTGTGAGACCTCTTCAAATGGTCCAGAACTCAGCGGCACGTCTGGTCTTCAATCAGCCAAAAAGAGCACACGTCACCCCTCTGTTCATTGAGCTCCACTGGCTACCACTAGAAGCACGCATCAAATTCAAATAGCTAACACTAGCATACAAAGTCTGAGATGGTACGGCTCCCATCTACCTGAATCCTCTTGCAAAGGCTTACGTCTCGGCGCGGCCGCTCCGGTCATCACAGGATTGTCGGCTAGCAGTGCCTACACCACGCTCAGGACAATCCAGACTCTTCTCATGCATCGTTCCACAAATGTAGAATGACCTACCAAGCACTACCAGGACAGCGGCTTCCTTTTCAATTTTCAAGAAACTCCTGAAGACCCTGCTCTTCAGAGAGCATCTTCTAAACTAGCACCCTCCCTGCACCCGTCCCCACCTCTATCATCCACTCCTTGTTCCCTCCTCTCCATGACTGATGTCAAGTTGTTGTTGTTAGCCTCAAGGGCAACATGCTGATCATCACTTGTAAGTCGCTTTGGACAAAAGCGTCTGCTAAATACATAAACATAAACAGAAAATACTTAAGACTATTCAGACCAGGGCTAAATTATTCTACACTAATAGCAGAGTCACTAGAAACAACGTTTGAGATTTGGGGAACCTTTATTTGTTTGTAAAGGTTTATCAGTGTGTTTTATAAGCAAATCTTTTGCATCTGGACCACATTAGAACTAGTCCAACTACAACACTTGGACTCTACAACAGTGATTTTAGGGCAGAATGGGGAAGAACCAATAACTGATATTTGCAGATACCATTTATGCTTCTAAAATCTGCAGATTTTGAATTGAAGCAGAATTTTTGAATGTCTTCCATCCATCTATACATCCATCCATCCATCCACCCATCCAGACCCCATTCATAGCAGTTCCCGGGTGAGCTGGTCTGAGGTTGGTGTTTTTAGTATTTTTGTTTTTACGATCAGTCAGGTGTCTGTTGATCACCTGCTGCTGATGAGAAGATTTCCCCTGTCAGTGTAGAAGGAACAGGTGAGCTGCTGCCAACAGGTTTTAGTTCCAATTTTAACACTTTCTACGCCCAGATGAGTGTGGCGAGCTGTTATTTATAATTTTATAATTGATGGTAAGTTAATAAAAGCACCAAACCCACAGCACAGGTGATGGAAAATAAGAATAAGTCTGAATGTTTCCCCCCACAGCTCAGCTCTGATAGAAATAAGATGTCTGCTTAAGCTGGACAATATTAAATATAAAATATTCACAGATAACTCATCATTTAATGGAGATTAATCATTTAAATATTTCATATAGATTTTATTTCATTCCAAAGGTTTGGAGGTGTGTGAACATTACAGAATCTTCTGATTGGTGTGACTAATAATAACAGGTCAGGGTAAAGTGGGTCAGACTAGGGTATAAAATTCTGCGCGGGGACCTTTTGGGGATTTGTTTTTCTCTAACTTTAATTCCAACAACTTTTAAAGAGTCTTTACAAGATGAGGGAGTACAGTAGGGGGAGGGGGTGGTCATGGACGTAGTTTTCAGTTTTAAAGTGGGGGGGACACGGGGGGGGGGGGGGTATCTTTACAGTATGTTCTAATAGGAAACAGGCTTCAACACAAACAGTTGTTTTCTGCTTGGTCCTAGAGCTCAACCAGTGTCAATTTAATATAGTGTAATATTGTTTTTGGATGGTAAAAAGTGCAGGGGTCAAAACTCGACTTTGGGAAAAAGTGGGGGGGACATGTCCCCCCTGTCCCCCCTCAAAATTACGTCCATGGGGCTGGTGGTGTTACTCTCACCTTTGCGTTTAGTCAGGATGGAGATAGCAGGGACATCCGGTCTGTCTGAGAACACCTCGGGATGGTTTGACAGCGCATCCTTCACCACTTCATAACCATTCAGGACAACTAGCAGCTGACTCCCAACGAAGAGGCTGTAAATATTCCCATAAACGTTAGCTTGAGAAGTCAACGCCTCCATGACGCTGCGAGGCAGCAGCTGGAATCTCCTGCTGATAGCCGGAGGGATAAAAAAGCCGCCGAAGTTCCCGATCACGGGCCAGGGCTTCGGACCCGGTGGGATGTTCCCGTACATGCCCCGCTGCTTCTGATAAAACATAACCACGTGATACACCAGCAAGAACAACAGTAGAGGCACGAACATGTTAGACGGTGACAGTGCGAAGTTGCTAGCATGTTCCAGCAATGAAAGGGAATCCATGACGTCTGATGTTACAGTAAAGAGAGTCAATAAGCTCCCAACGCAGACTTCGAGTATAACTGCAACGCCAGCTCGACAACGCTGTTACAGCTCACGCTCTTCCTGTAGAGCTGTGAAACTGTAAAGTAAATATTATTCTAGTGCTGGCCTCCTATTGGCTGGCAGCGCTTGTTGCCCTGCTTTGATTGGTGGACTCAGACAACAAGTGACCAAGACTGATTCCCTGATTTTGGTCTCGCAGGCTGCAACAAGCCTTTGTAAATACAATTAAAATATAACTTAACCGTCTTGAAAGGGTTATGGGATGTAATTAATGCATGTACAAATGCTCACTACAGCTTTACTCATATTTTATGGATTACATGGAGACTTAAACTGCTGAGGATAATAAAATTGAATTGTTTATTGACAATCGTTAATGTAACAAAGTCGATTAATTTTTCATCCATCCATCCATCCATCCATTTTCGTCCGCTTAACCGGAGTCAGGTCGTGGGGGCAGTAGCCTAAGGTGAGAGGCGCAGACTCTCTCCCCAGCCACTTGGGCCAGCTCCTCCGGGGGAATCCCAAGGCGTTCCCTGGCCAGGTGAGAGACATATTCCCCCCACCGTGTCCTGGGTCTACCTTTAGGTCTCCTCCCGGTTGGACGTGCCCGGAAAACCTCACCAGGGAGGCGTCCAGGAGGCATCCTGACCAGATGCCCGAGCCACCACAACTGGCTCCTCTCAATGTGGGGGAGCAGCGGGTCTACTGCGAGCCCCTGCCGAATGACTGAGCTTCTCACCCTATCTCTGAGAGAGAGCCCAGCCCCTCTTCGGAGAAAACTCATTTCGGCCGCCTGTATCCGTGTTCTCGTTCTTTCGGTCACTACCCAAAGCTCATGACCATAGGTGAGGGTAGGAACGTAGATCGACCGGTAAATCGAGAGCTTCGCCTTCTGACTCAGCTCTCTCTTCACCACAACAGACCGGTACAACGCCCGCATCACTGCAGATGCAGCACCAATCCGCCTATCGATCTCATGCTCCAGTTTTCCCTCACTCGTGAACAAGACCCCGAGATACTTAAACTCCTCCACTTGGGGCAGGACCTCATCCCTGACCCGGAGAAGGCATTCTGCCCTTTTCTGAATCAAGACAATGGCCTCAGATTTAGAGGAGCTGATTCTCATCCCAGCTGCTTCACACTTGGCTGCGAACCGCTCCAGCGAAAGTTGAAGATCACGTTCTGATGAAGCCAACAGGACCACATCATCTGCAAAAATCAGAGACCTGATCCACAGGCCGCCAAAACGGATGCCCTCCACACCTTGGCTGCGCCTAGAAATCCTGTCCATAAAGGTTATGAACAGAATCGGTGACAAAGTGCAGCCTTGGCGGATAGGGCTGGACGATATGACGATTTTAGACCGTTTTACGATCTACACATCTGACGGTCTGTCATTTTTGAGAGACCGTTTTATCACGATTCACAGCTCTGCTGTTGAATTTCTGCCTCTGAATGAAAAGGGAACTTACCTCAGGCGAATGACACGCCTTTGTTTGACCCTTAACCAATCAGAGTGAGTCATAGTAATATATTAGTGCCCCGCTTGTTTTCACCTGTGTGTGAACAAACATGGCTTCGGCCGCGGCTGAGCGACAACGAGGTTTTCGTTCCGAAGAGGAACGCAGGGTTTCCTTAGCGCGCGGCGCTAACAACTTAGCGACGTGACATGTCTCGGAGAAAGCGTAAAAACACGTTGGACGCTTCTTCTGAAGCAGGAAAATAACACCGCTTCTTAAGCAGAGCACGACGCCGCCTCGGCTCGTCCACCCTCTGCCGAGCCGGTGTCGGTACCGACTGAGCTCGGTCACTGGGTCGATGGAGCTGCCCCGTGACTGCCTGATGGAAAACCAGCGGGTTTCATCAGACTCGTAGTTTCTTGTTTTTGCTGTATTTTACCGCTCCCTCCTGCAGTCTTCCCCTATTAACATTTAAAATGATTCTGTAAACTCTGTGTATCAATAGAAACGATCTCTGTCAGCTGCAGCAAATGTAGTTTCCAAATAATAAATAAGAGGTGCATTCATCTGTGTATCTCCTTTGATCCGCATTAGTGATATTCTCAGCACCAGAACAGTGAAGCAAAGAAAGATTCCTGAGTTTGTTAGTAATTTTATTTATTAGGTGCATCTAACCTGTTCTATTTTTCTCTGAAATGAGATCAGATCAGTGCTTCTATGGGTTGTCTCCAATCTGCACTGGAAAATTTTTACTTTATTTAGAGACTTGTTGCAGAAAATATACAGAATGCACAGTTTTTTGCTACCATAAGCGATCTCTGGTCCAGCCGCACATCAGAGCCGTATTTGAGCTTAACTATCCACTACATGAGCAACTGGGAGCTACATAGTATTTTGAACAAGTTCATGTTTACACAATACGTTTGCAATTGACATGTTTGCAATTTAAACATGTTTACGATTTTAATTTATGTTAAGTTACTTGAAAAATGAGAAAAACTGATTTTTGTAATTGTTTCTCTCAGGGCTTTTATCATCTCTGGTGTGAGTTTAAAATATAAGTGTGTTAGCACTGTGCTGATTATCCCTAATATGAATAAATGTCTATTTATTCAATATTTCTCTTCTTTAATACGCAATTGAAGTTATGCTATTCATGGATAAAAAAATCGTGATAAAATCGAAATCGTGATAAAATATTGGAAAAATCGTGATATTCTATTTTTGCCATATAGCCCAGCCCTATTGGCGGAGTCCAACTCTCACTGGGAACGAGCCCAACTTACTGCCGGCAATGCGGACCAAGCTCTGACACTGGGATTGAGAAGGTCTTCGAAGTATTCTGCTCACCAATCCACAATGTCCTGAGTAGAGGTCAGCAGCACACCGTCCCCACCATAGATGGTGTTGGTAGCGCACTGCTTTCTGCCCTGAGGCGCTGGATGGTGGACCAAAATCTCCTCAAAGCCGTACGGAAGTCTTGCTCCATGGTCTCACCGAACTCCTCCCATGCCCGGGTTTTTGCCTTGGCGACCACCCGAGCCGCGTTCCGCTTGGACTGCCGGTACCCGTCAGGTGCCTCTGGAGTCCCACAGGCCAAAAAGACCTGATAGGACTCTTTCTTCAGCTTGACAGCATCCCTAACCACAGGAGTCCACCAGTAGGTTTAGGGGTTGCCACCACAACAGGCACCGACAATCCTGCGACCACAGCTCCGGTCGGCCGCCTCAAAAATGGAGGCACGGAACAGGGTCCATTCAGACTCAATGTCCCCCGCCTCCCCCGGAACATTTTGGAAGTTCTGTTGGGCAGGAGACTCTGCCAGACGTTCCCAGCAGACCCTCGCGATACGTTTGGGCCTGTCTGGTCTGACAGGCATCCTCCCCCACCATCTGAGCCAACTCACCACCAGGTAGTGGCAGTTGACAGCTCCACCCCTCTCTTCACCCGAGTGTCCAAGACATGCGGCTGCAGGTCAGGTGAAACAACAACAAAGTCGATAATCGAGCTGCGGCCTAAGGTATCCTGGTGCCAAGAGCACATATGGACACCTTAATATCTGAACATGATGGACAATCCATGACTGGCACAGAAGTCCAATAACAAAACACCACTCGAATTCAGATCAGGGGGGGTGTTCCTCCCAACCACACCTCTCCAGGTCTCACTGTTGTTGACCACATGAGCGTTAAAGTCCCCCAGCATATCGAGGGAGTCACCAGAAGGAGCGCTTTCCAGCACCCCCTCCAAGGTCTCCAAAAAGGGTGGGTAGTCTGAACTGTAGTTTGGTGCATAAGCACAGACCACAGTCAGAACCCGTCCCCCCCCCCCCCCACGTAGGCGGAGGGAGGCTAGCCTCTCATTCACCGGGGTAAACCCCAACATACAGGCACCAAGATGGGGGGCAACTAGTATGCCCACCCCTGCTCGGCGCCTCTCAGTGGGAGCAACTCCAGGGTGGTAGAAAGTCCAAACCCTCTCAAGAAAACTGGTTCCAGAGCCAGAGCCATGCGTTGAAGTGAGTCCGACTATATCTAGTCGGAACCTCTCAACCTCACACACCAACTCAGGCTCCTTGCCCACCAGAGAGGTGACATTCCATGAGCCAAGAGCCAGCTTCTGTAGCCGAGGATCAGACCACCAAGGTCCTCGCCCTCGACTACCACCTGACTGCACCTGACCCCTTTGGCCCTTCCCACGAGTGGTGAGCCCATGGGAAGGGGGACCTACGTTTCCTCTTCGGGCTGTGCCCGGCCGGGCTACATGGTTGAAAGCCCGGCCACCAGGCGCTCGCCAAGGTGCCCCACCTAGGCCTTGCTCCAGAGGGGGGCCCGGGTGACCCACGTCCGGGTGAGGGAACACGGTTTCCATTTATATAATTCATCATAAGAGGTCTTCGGGCTGCTCTTTGTCTGATCCCTCACCTAGAACCTGTTTGCCATGGGTGACCCTACCAGAGGCAGAAAGCCTCAGACAACTTAGCTCCTAGGATCATTGAGACACTCAAACCCCTCCACCACGGTAAGGTGTCAGCCCAGGGAGAGGGATTTAAAACAGATTTAAAACTTATTTTTCGATTAAATAAAAATACCAGACTCAAGCTCTGCCTTTCTTTATTTTTCATATAACATCACAATGACTTGGATGATAAAAGGAATACAAAATGAATGTAGATAATAAAGCACAGAAAACACACAGAGGCAGGTAATGGCAGCTTTGGTACAGATTCTTAAAACACTAAGGCACCTTGTGGCTGAAGTACACTAATATATCGACATAAAAATAATCTAAATATTCAGCATGCCAAGTAACAGCAACAGTCCTGAAAGAATGCTGCAAAAACAAATGAGCTGTTTGTGTGTGAAGCATTTTTTATAAATAAATCACAGTGGCAAAAATACAAAGACTTTATGCATCAACAGTATGATTTTGGTATTTGCACAGAAGACAGTACTCAATGAAGGAAAATCATTTAAAGGACTTTCAAGCAACGACGCTGCAGTATCACGGTCACATCACTCCTCCCGTGGGCTCTGCACCATCGAGTATTTCTTACAGGAGTTCTTCAGACAGGCAGAAGGCCAGGTGATGGGCCAACTGTAAGAGCATGGCACTGAGGTTTGGACATTCTTCTCCAAGAAGTTAAACAGCGGATTCCACCAGGTGTTGGTGAGGTAGTTATTGGGTGAGCACTTTATAATCTGTCAAGATAAAAAGGTAGACATTTAGAGTAAATAATTAATTTGTATATTGCCTGTAATACAAGGTGATGTTTAAAGGTGCATGAAGTATGATGACATCCTGTGGGCAAATTTGGGTACTGCAGTCCATAGATCAAAACAAACAAGTCCTCTCTGAGCAACTGTTGCCATTTACCATTTTAGATAACGAGTGAAGACGACACCCCCTAGTGTCCACTTGAAGAACCGAATGTCCTCACTGTGTGTTTGTCTTCTCAACACCTCAAGCCTGATTTATACGTCTCCGTCAGCTCCGCAAGGAAGAGACGCACACACATTGATAGAGACGTTTTGCTCTTGGACTTCTCCGTCACCTGGGGAGTGTTGCAAAGCAATTCTCCGCCAGGACTAGAGAAGGCATAGCGCTTTTCTGTCGTATCGAGCTACCATTCCACTCATGCATGGGGTCCACGATACTGGACTAATTTTGTAATGTGTACTAATGCCTTTATGTATTTCAGAGACTTTATAACACAGTCAAATTTGTCCTTCATTCTCCTCCACCTCTTCATGCGTCGCCACCTCTAAACCCATGTTTCCCGTCATTCCCATCCATGGATAAAACGGTTGCTCCATATCTTTGTACTCCTTCAGTCACAAGTGAAGACATTTTCATATTTTTGGACTTTTTCCGCGATGTGTTCTTCAATCTGTTCCAGGTCTTCTGCTAAATATCGTTTTATTTTTTGATGAGGCAATGGCAGTGCTGTCGATTAATTTAAAGGAAACGGCGTCCTGACAAATCACAAGCTTGCGACCTCTGTCACTTTCAATGGATATTTAAAAATTTGGGCATGTTTCCCTCAGCCTCTGTGAGCCTAGCGGAGAGCCCTTGCGCTGACGCATAATGGTGTTGCGTGTCTCCACACTGACGCAGATAGAAAAGTATAAATCAGGATTTAATCTAACAGCTGAAATGTCTCCCCAACCTTCCTTAGTGTCTACAGGAGTGATTCATCACTAAATAAAAAAAAATCAGCTGTGTTCGTGATCTAAAACAAGCAAAAAACATGCTGGAACCAGACTGCAGCACCAGGTATGTCAGCTCAATTTAAGTCCCAAAAGAGCAGCCTGCCAGTTTAAAGTAGCAAGTGGAATATTCTAGACCCAGGGGGTGATAGGGGCTGGGTGGCATTTCATTAATCCTTTAAAAGGTCGTTTTAGCACATACTGGCTCAAGAAAATGATTTGAAAATATTAAAAAGTGTCAAAGTATCCCTTTAATGTCTTTCTTAATTTTATCCGTTAGTTTTTATAGATACATTGTGAAAGTACTGTTTTGCCTGAACATATATATAAGAGGATAACAACCACTTGTGTTGAAGCCTGTTTCCCACTAGAACTGTCCATAAGCTATTCTATTGGCTCTGCTGATACTTGCTAACGTATGATTGGTCATTTTTGCCACCTGTGTACTTGACAGGTTTGCACTCCTGAAATAGGGAGCCTAAGTCACGCCCATCTACTTCCGGACCACGGGTCCCCGGAAAAATCAATCAATTAATTATTTAATTAATTATTAATTAATCAATTTCCCTCTGGGATTAAAAAAGTATTTTTGAATTGAATTGAATTGAATTGAAGAACGTATAAATGAATGCACAATGGAACATCTGTTGGGACATATGCTATTTACTAATTCCGCTTGTTTAGCGCCATGGATTTCACATCTGATGTCCGTGAATTTTAAAGACACATTTTGATACCAAGAATGCGCTTTTTTTTTTCGAACAGGGGTAAACGCTATTTTAGGTTTTGTGTGAAAATAAGTCCAGGACTACAAATGCGCATCACGAAAGTAATGTCATCAAACCAAACATGGAGAAAACTGAGGAAAAATGGTTGAAAGTTCAGCAAACTTCCCACAGGAGGAAAGAACCACCATGTATCTTACCATTAGGTAAGTAGCAGCTACGTTAGGGGAGACGTGCGTGCCAATTTCTGGTATGTAGACATGCTAATTACGAACTTTTACAAGCTGATAAATCTCAAAGTATGTAACTGGCGTGGTTGAAATACGCATCATTACTTTTCATTTAAATTGCTGTACAACATATGTGCGATCCAGGGTCTAAGGCAAAGTGGATTAGAAAATAGCGTTTTAGCTCCGTTGACTTACATTCATTTTTTCGTTCTTCCGGGTACCCATGAGCCAACCAGAAAGGGAGGAGACTTGGGCTCCCTATTGCATAAAAGAGCCTCTAGGCTGTAGTTTTAAACATAGTCTTTGTATACTTACTGTAAAGACCCCCCCACCCACCCACCACCCCCCCGCCCCACCCCCACCCGATCCCCCAACCACAGTCCTCATGCCGGCTGTATTGTGCTATTAAACACAAACAACCGCCACCCATTTCTTTGTTCTGTCCTCGCACCTGTAAGTTTGCCATGGTGTGGTACCACCAGAACAGACGGGAGGTGATGAAATAGGCCACAACCACATCTACACTGTAGTGCTCATGTGCCACCAGGATGCAGACCACGCCCACAGCACTCAGCAGCCAGCACACCAGGTGATACCACCAGAATGACGGGGGTGAGTCTTGAGGAATAAAAGACAAGAGAGCTGTCGGTATTCACAAGTGCACCTGCTCTTAGGTGTTACCACTTTTATCTAAAATTAACAAAACAAATTCATTCTAGTTAAAAATGTATGATCCTAAACAAGTGCATATAAACCTTATCTAAATAAGACATTTCTCAGAAATTATTTATAGAAATAATTCCTGATAAATTCAGCATATTTTAAAATATACACCAAGTATCGTTACATATTTTCAAACCTATCTTATCAAATTTTGAATGTGTGAAGTATGAAAGAAATGGTTGCATAATCTAACAATAAGTGTCTAGTGTAATAGAGATGAAAGTGCTCAATGTATTTCATCAATTATTAATGGGAAGAACTCATGAATTATTCCTTTGAATACTCACATTCTTTGATGAATAGATAAGTGAGGGTGAGCATCACTGTGTGTCCGCTGTAGAGGAAGTCTCCACACAACAGATGGGAGTTGGTGATAGACAAGCCTCCACCTGAAATCAGCCGTAGAACCCGCTGAATTTTGGCCTGCATGTCTCCTTCAAGCTGATGGGGAAGAAAATTAGATTTTAAAATTTGGGCGGCTTATATCTTGTTTAGTCAACTTTACAATAAAAAACAAATAAAATGTGGAGTTACTTTGAGTCACCAAGCTTTCAAATTTTTGTGAAAAGCAGCTAAAACATCATATTCAAGAGGACAAACACAAATTAGTGTCTACTTTTATATAAATTAATTGAAAGCATGTTGTTTGTAAACAGCACAGAAGATTGGTGCATGGAGGACAAGTCTGATCTGACTCATGATTCTTGAGTTGGACAATCCACCTGAAGGATGTGAAATAGCTTTTATTTAGCGCTGATTCTCATGCAAGTCCCCGAGATTCCAGCTTGTATCTCACATTTCCCTTTCACCAACCTTAGGAGCACAGTTCATGTGCATGCCAGGAACAGGCAAGGTGGTGATGTACATGGTCACACAGCGATACAGGTACAGGGTTCCAATGAGGAAGAAGAACCGCCTAAATAATATTGACCTGTAAATAAGGAACAGTCATCAATACAAGGCCAACCACCCCATGAGGAAATGCATATCACCTGCAACATTTTATGCCAGTTTAGACTAATAAATGATGGAGCTATATCTGTTTTGGTTAAATCATTATTGCAAGATCTTGCACATCTGTTCGCTCACTAAGCATGTGTTGTGAATGACTCCCGGGAACTACCACACCAAACTTTAGGTCGATATCTATAAAGAAACTGAGTTGAGATTGGTAAGCTTACTAGATTTGGTGGCCATCTTTTTTGGGTAGACTTCCTGTTATGATGACTTTCTGAGATTATTGTTAAAATTTGTCCAGTGGACATAACAATCAAAAAAGGCAAAAGCATTTTGGATTTTCTGCAAATGTTGATAATGAATAATGGTATCAAAGTAGCAGTCTTTAACCCTTATATGTCCTAAGTGCATATTTTTGCGCAGACAAGTGTATTTTTGTCAATAATTTTGGCTACTGGGGGAAATACAAAAAATAAAAATAAAAAATACCCCTACTCCATTTAATGTAACACTAAAATCATTTTGTAGCGTTACGGCCCTTAGTGCATTATTTTGCGCCATTGACTCCCGTGTAAATGTCATGAGCTGGGGTGAGTACTCCTCTCAATTTTCCACCTTTGAGTTGTGTGTTGCAGGAGAGGGAGGTTCCCAGCCGCACCTGGTTTGCAGTCAGCGAGTCCTGCCACTTAAGGAGGATGGAGAACACACGCGGACGCCGGATGATTGCTACAGCTTGGTATAGTTTCCAGCCCTCCTCGTGCCACATGGTTTGGATTCTCTAGTGTTTTTTGAACTTCTGTGATCTTGGATTTTGTGGTTACCTGCCTCCAGGGTTTGGAAAGTCTCTGGATTCAGCGACACCTCAGGATTAGTCACTTGTGCTCTAGGATTTCTGGACGCAGCGCAGCTCTGGATTGTTCTCCATCCATCCCGACCGACCCGCTCTTCTGCTCACCTCACGCTCCCTCTCCTGCCCCCCCCCCCCCCGCACACACACACACACGCACTTGGATACACCCCGGCTCTCAACCTGCCCTCCCTCATTCCTGAGCTTCCCCTCAACTCCCAGTAAGTCTTTTCTCTGCACCCACCTAGTTAAGACTTACTTCCCTGGACTCACCTGTATTTGCTCTCCCCTCCCCAGACGCTGCGCTCCCGCTCTCGATCCTACTGGACTTACCAGTGCGCCTTTAGTTCTCCGTTTTCAATAAACATTATTTTTTCCATCATTCTGTGTGTCGGGTTGTGATTCTGCATGTCTTGGGTTAGACTTATTGTGTATATATATATATATATATATATATGTATATATATATATATATATGATCCTGTCTGGGTTCCCAGGGCAATTGCAGACTCAATTTTGAGTTTTTTTTTGCGCATTTTCCTATGTTTACCGGGGAAATAACTAACGCTGCATTAAAAAAAAGGAAATATTTTGATATATTTTATTAAATCTCAGGAAAGCACAAATATTTTGTGAGGACTGAAGCAAAGGACAAAATTCATGTAGAAAAATTTTGGGAGTTATGAAATATTACATGAGGAAGTATTGCATCTGCATTTTTTTTGTGCACCAAGATTAAAATTGTGACTTTAGAAAACATGAAATTACACAAACTATGAAGTGAGCAAAACATATTTTTATGCCTATTTGTGACACTCCAAGGCCGCGACAGTTTAACCCCATAAGTCATCTGAATTTAAAACACAAAAAATTAATTGATTTTCTAATTTTTTTTACAGCTTTTCACAATTCTGGTATTGATAAACCTGGCAATAAAGGGCTTAAGTCTCAGAAACACTAACATTTTTTATCATATTTTGTTAGGGCTGAAGCCAAGGATCTAATTAATGTAAAAAATTGGGACATATGAATCATTACATATGTCAATAGGAAGTTTTGTATTTGCATTATTTTGTGCTCAAACACCAGAAACGCGTGAAAATTAAAAGGCTTAAAGGAGTTTCTCAGCATTCATTATTAAATATACCTGGACCGTAGTGCATTTTTCAGCTGCCCGAGACAAATCCCTTGTCGTGAACAGAATCGAATCAAAAAAAGGTGAACGTGAGGGTGATTTGCAAGTCTGAAGCCATCCAGTGTGACCGGCTCTGCGACAGCTTTTTGAGCACTCATGAACCTATGGTCTTAAATCACTGCTTGGAAACTAATGAATCCCGTCTGCAATCAACCAATGAAAATACACGCAGGGTACGATGTGAACAACTAGTGACGAGCGTACAACACAAGACTAGAACTAGAAACATTAGCAAAAGTGGAAGCAACACACAGGAAGATGTGGACAACTGTTTTTTGGAGTTCAGGTTTAGAGTCTAATAAAGAAGTGCTAGCAGTGGCACTTTTCGCCTCATTTCAGCCTTGTTGCTTTGGTTAGCTGTCTGCTATTTTTGGGGGGGGGGGGGGGGGGGGTGCTTGTGATGTGATGTGTCCTACGAGAGCGAGATGTCCTGCAGTTTGGCTCACTGAAATCTTGCACTATACTGTGTTTCACCCTTTTAGAGTTCTCTTGAGCAATCATGTGCGACAGCCAAAAAACGCAATGTGGTCCGAACTTAAGGAACAAAATTGTTCTAGAAAATGACCACATCTGTTTGGTGATATAATATTTACGTCACAAAACTTTTCCAGCAACTGCTGGGGCTAGTGCCAACAAACTGCAGAAAAATTAGACCTCATAGGGAGGTAGTACTTTTGAAAGTACCTGGAATTTTCAGAATGCATCGTGGGAGCTTTCTACCCTTCTGACTGGTTGATTATCTGAGGCTCTCTCAAGCTAAAAACAACAAGTCACACATCTGTGCATGGCATGCAGCTCATACAATACTTGATTCTTACTTGTATCTGAAGAAGAACAACTGGATCAACCAAATGATCACGAGTACCATCCCATTGACCTCTGTTACTGTAAAGGCCCACTTGACTCTGTCAATATAGTCAAAGAACTTATCAGGAAGAGGAGGGCTGCTTTCTTTGGGAGGGACCCGCTCATGTACGACTGTGATGACGACTGTAGTCAAAACCAAGTTAAAAACGGCGTAGAAAAAGGCGATCACCGTCTTCCACCACTCTGACGGCAGAAGGTTGACTTTGGGCTCTGGTACAGCGATCTTCACATAGTCGTTGCGTCTGCTTACACCTTTCTGGAAACCCCTCTTAGAGTCCTCTCCAGCTGGAGCATGGATGGGACAAGTTTTAGCAGTGTTGGATACAGAACCACCCTCCACTCCTGAGTTTAGACTGTCAGTGACAGAGTCTGAGCTGTGTACGTGCTCCTGTGATGCCATGGGAAGGTGTTTGCTCCGTCCACCCACAAGGCTGGAGCGCTGAAGCTGCAAAGAGAGATAAAAAATAAAATTAAAAAGGCTGAAGTGACAAGCTGACCCTGTAGAGAAGTGATCTTGATGCTAAACAGGAAGTTGAGGAAATGATGAGACTGTTGAGACTCAGTGCAGCAAAGGCTTAAAAGGAAACACATCTATAGGACTATTTTGGGGGCATTGTAACGATATCAATAGTAAAAATAAAGTTAGAAATAAAGCTGGAGGGTTTTTTGAATTCCTGCAGAAAAATGACTCGAGAGTGCTCCTCTGTGATGAAGATTGAAATTGTTTAACAGCTAAAAAGAGCTTCAGTGTCTTTAAAAGCCCTGTTAATGGATTTGAGGGATGTTGCTACCCGTGCTGAAATACAAAATAGATTTCCTCTGGGACTCGTGGTTTGCATGGAAGAGGGGAAACAGCAACAGAAGAAAAGATAGAATCATAAAAATGGCTGCAGGAGAGGTGCTGAACATATCAAGTTTCTTTATAATTACTGTGTAGAAAAATATGACATCGCACGGAAGGAAACAACAGCAGATTGCCCTCTGAATAACCCTTCAGTGACACAGAAGCCAACATCTGGCATGCTTTAATGGTTAATAGAGTATTTTAAGGCCGCCATTTAGATCAGTGAGAACGAGCAAAACATTATAGGCTATTACATGTTTCTGTGGGATGTGAGGCATGTTCTTGCAAGTTTCAGTATATTTTGTACATTTCTTTTTGATTATGAAGTATTTAATTCGAATGTGTAAAAGAACAACAACAACAACAACAATAATAATAATAATAATAATAATAATGATAATAATAATAATAATAATAATAATAATAATAATAATAATAATAATAAACTAATAATAAAAATATGTATTAATTTCAAACACATTTTGTGTGCAGTTTGCAGAATGCATCAATAGAGTCCACATTGTAGAAATTAACTGAAAGCAGTTGACAAGGCTTAATAAATGAATTATAAATATATTCATCACACAAATTTGTCATCAATAAGTTTCAGAACATTTTCTGTGTTCATGTGCAAAAAATAAATAAATAAAATGACCTATTTCCCCTCCTCCCTATCATAGTTCAGTATTTTTCCCATCATCCGAAAGGATGGGTGGTGTCGGAAAACTGGCAGAATAATTTTTTTTCCACAGAGCGCTGCTGCCTCCAGTCTTCCAAGCTATTTCAGGAAAAGGTCCACCAGCTGCTTCCAGGCTTGTATTTTACCCTGGGAGAACAGGGGTTTCACTCTATTTTTGGGGTCCCTATAATAACATGCTAATTTTCTTACCATTCATTTTCACGTGGATAGAGTTAATTATGGAGGGCTCAAAATAAATGACACTAGGCCCTGCCCATTTTAAGTAGACATTTATGGATGAACAGACAATGAAATGACAATTAAAAACAGACAGAACTCCTCATTGTAGGGGGATGAAAATTGCATCAAGATTCAGACTTGGTAATTAAAGAAGTTTTACCAGGAAATTAATACTACATTCAAGATCTTAAAAATAAAAGGCATGTGAATATTTAAAATATGTTGACTTGTTATTATATCTAATGAACATTTGTTGCTTTCAAACACTAGTCAGCGGTATTAAAACTAGTTGGTTGGAGATCTTTACTTTAAGTCTTAGATATCGCCCTTTTCACTATGCACCATTTGTAAAGTCAAACAGTCAATATAACAGCAGTTTTTTGGGGTTATTTAGCCTATCATAAGACAAGAAAATGGAGTTCATTTTTCAAAGTCATATTTTCACCACATTATTCATACATTTATAAATGTTAAAGTTCCCAACTAAATATTTAGTTAGCAAGCTAAGTATTTATTTTAGAGTGAAATTGTAATTTTACAAACTAAATATTTAGGTCAAACCTAAATAAATAATAAATAATATTTAGTTTTGTAAACTAAATATTTAGCTCAAAATTATATATTTTTCCAAAGTAAATATTTAGATTCCAGTTAAATATTTCTTTTGGAGCTAAATGTTTAGTTTGCAAAATCAATATTTAGGTTTAGCCCCTAAATAAATATTTAGCTTGGATACAAATGTTTATTTTGGAAAACAAATATTTAATTTTAAGCTAAATATAAAGTTAGTAAGTGAACTATTTAGTTTACAAACAAATCATTTATGTCAGACCTAAATATTCAGTAAACTTTACGTACCATTCCTACAGCTGTGCTGTCCCGGATGTGGAAGCAATGCGATATTTAACAGAATACAAGTGTTTTATAGTTAATTAGTTCATTGAAATAAAGTCTTAATTTTTTTAGAGGATCTTAAAAAGTCTTGGAAATGTATGAAATTTAATTTTGAGATCCATGCATATACCCTGTTATATTTTGCACAACAATCAAAATTAGTTTTACACAAATATTGAAAATCCTGTAGTAGTAATCCTGTAACATGATAACTGGAACTAATTCACGTGATGGTTCACAGCTGAAAATCACAGCCCCTTTAAATTATATTTTGTGTTAAAATTGTGCATAATTACCATCTCACACATAGCCTCTGAACAGCCTCAGTGAAGAGAAAAAGCATTTTTGTCCTTCAGGATTGATGAGCTAACAGGTAGTTTGAGCATTACCAAAACCAAACAGCTCCAGCCTCTAAAGGTTTGCAGTAGTTTGAGTAAATTTGAACCTCTTGCTTTTCGAAAAAGTATTGATAGACCAAATGAAATGTTTTGTTCCTGCTTGTTATCTTTACATTTTTAATAACTCTGAAAATCAATAAATGTCCATAACAGAAAATTAACAGTAACATATTATTAAGACACTGTTGCATGAATTACTGTGGGATTTCTGTAGGTTGGAAAACCAAAACACTTTGATCCAGGCTGCGCTTAGACTAGCTGTTAGCTCATCAGTCCTACTCAATTCCTTCAAACAGAGTCAAAGCCACTGCAAATTAATAGGATAGCAAATATACTTTTTATTTATAAGCACACTTGAAGTAGCCTAAATGACCAATTTGATTAGTAGATTTACAAAAAAAGACAGTCACAAATGAGCATGAAATGTTTTCTGCCAAAGAAAAAGGTCATAAGACCAATCAGATGCTTTAGAATAAGTTAAAGTCCTAAAGAGCTTATTACACAATTCTATGGAAATGAGCAGCACATGTAAGGAAGTCTTGATTTGACGTTGCTCTTTAAGTGATGACACGACCTTTCAGGCTGTTTCTCACTAATTCGATTTTCTGAAGTAACTTTTGTTTCGTTAAACATCAAAGTAAAACATTTCAAACAGCTGAAACAGAAATAGCTCCACTGTGTAAGGACCAACCCCTGCATTTGTGGGTTCCATAACCAGATGTGGAAAGGTTCCTGGCAAGTGTAAAGTCAACCTCAGGGCTGGGTGTCTCCTCATCCTATGGTGTATTACAGGGCAGCAGTCTCTGTCGCATGTAATACATGGCCCACAGCCACTTTGAAGTTTACTTTTGGGGTGAAGCACAGTGTGGCCCCACAGCGTTAAACACCAGTTTCTATACTGGTGGCTGGGTGGGGCAACAGGTTAGCCTGTGATTAAGAACTGTATTTCTCTTAGCTATGTTAACTGAAAATGCATAGTTGCTGATTCAACAAAAGCATGCAAACTCTCTGCATTTGATTCACAATGATTCAGAAAACATGCAACTACTTTTTATTTGCATCATGCAGGCAACTCAAACGTAAAGGCAAACAAAAGTTTTTTTGTAGGTGAACATGAAGTAAACATCACAAATGTTTTTGCGTGTTCAGTTGTAAACAAGACAAATAAAGTTGGATGTCATCATTTCATCTGGCCCTCGCAGTTACACGAAACATCTGGTGTTGACGACGCAGTTACCCTTATGCACTAGTGCATCTGTCAATGAGAGGATGGGCCTCTGATTATGTTGCTGAGCTTGAAGCATCCTACCTGCCTTGGACTGGTCTCCTTCCTGCTCCCTTCTGTACTGGAGATGCCAGGCTGGATCCGTGCTGCTGCACCCTGTTTGCTCTCTGCTCCTCGCAGGCTGGACTGACACGCCAGCGCTGCTCGCTTTTGATCAAGCGCTCCTCCCTGAAGCCCCGTGCTGTGTCCCTCCCCGCCCCGCACCCCTCCCTTTAATTCACCATCCCGTAATCAGGACGTGCGTCTCCCTCTAACGACTACGTTCATCTAATAAAGCTGCTTCCGAAAATTCACAGTTGCTGTATAAATAGCCTCTTCTCAGTAGCAGCGCTCTTTTACTATAAAATGTTTTTATTTATTTAGTTTCTAGACTGTAAAAGAATGTTGTTTAGAGCGGCTTCTCTAAATATTAATGTCAACGTTTTATTTCATATTTTAAATAAATAGAAGTTATTATTTTCGAGTGAAATTTTCCTTTCGATAGAAAAGATTGTGTAAAATGAAAGCGGATCACAGATCAGGTAATGAAGCAAACAACTCACTATTGTAGAGACCGATAATAAAGCACAACTGACATCAGGTCAGTTTTGAGGACACCGTAGATTACGTATAAACGTCACTTCTCGACGTTGACGTGGCGTCTTGTTGGAGACGTCGAGCGAAAGCAAAGCTTTTCTGCTCTGCGCATCTCCTTTCAATGGGCAAACCGGTCATAAAGATTGATTTATACATTCACTAACACAAACACCTTCTAGTTGACAGCGTGCGCGTGTGTTTTAGCGATATTGCTGCTTGAATTAGCCATCAACTGCTACCAGTCATAATGGAGACGCAACATATTGGTAACTCGAACAAGAAACAGAAGCTAACTAACGCGCCTGAGAACTGGGTGAGTTTTATTTGTCAAAGTTTTATTAACAAACAGTTTATTATGCCAGAAAACCTCATCTAACTAGTTGACAATGAGCTAGCTGGTCATGAGGCTACGTAGCTACGGTGCTAATGCTACATACACCGTTACATTAATTCAATAGATGCTAGCCGCGCCGATGCTAACAGATTTGGAGACGAACATCCTCATTAATCCCCACGCAATAACAAAACTAATATATTGTGTTTTTTTAGGACATTAACTATTTACTACCAACTGAAATCGAGCAAAATTAAACAAATCCCAGACTGACGAACAAAACAAAACTAAATGAAAATGAGGTTTAGTCCAGTCAAGAGACCATAAATGCAAATGTTAAAGTGTTTCTGTCACTTAAAGATAACAATTTCAAGCCCAGTTTTTGTCATATGTAATTAAAAACTGCTATGTTATTGTTTATGACTGTTGATGCAGCAGGAACAGTGTAATATTGTTACAAATCTTTATTTTATGCTGAGTTTTAATGTTTTGACTCTCAAGTCTCTGACAATTACCTTTCAAGGCCTATTTAAATATGCTTTAGTAGTAATACTTTTATAAATCTACCTGTACTGCTTTTTGAGTTAGTTAAAGAGCAAGTCACCCCCAAATCAACTTTTTCTGCTGATAAACTATATAAATCAGTGTCTAACCATGCCATAGACATGTGTAGTCAATAATTTGGCACTTTAGTGCATCTTAGTTCTAATTTAAATCTTCTGCCTAAAAGCTGTCCGTGTTGCGCTGTCGTCAGGTAATAACTGCACTGCATTTGAAATAAAATCATCTACCGCTATTGACTAGGAGGTAACTAAGACTGGTACATTATGATGTCACAATGTCGTTGTGGGCCTGTGTGTTTATGTACTTGTTAGCAGCTCCGCAGTCTCTGTCTTCCAGGCAACAGCATTTGTTGCATTTTTCAAACATGAAGTGGGAGTGGCGTTAGACTAGTAGGGGTTGACTTGCTCTTTAAAATGACACAAATCTCATCATTTCAGGGAATGCAGCGAGCAACCAATGTCACCTATCAAGCTCATCATGTAAGCCGGAACAAGCGGGGTCAGGTAGTGGGCACAAGAGGAGGATTTAGGGGATGCACTGTCTGGCTCACAGGTATAATGCTAAACGCTACTAAAATTAGTTTCAGTTTTAGCAACCCTTTTCCTACTACTTTTCTTTTTTTTTTTTTTTGTAAAGGTCTGTCAGGTGCTGGGAAGACCACAGTGAGTATGGCTCTGGAGGAGTACCTCGTATGTCACGGTATTCCCTGCTACACACTGGATGGGGACAACATTCGTCAAGGGTTGAACAAAAATCTGGGTTTCAGCCCTGAAGACCGTGAAGAGAACATTAGACGCATCGCTGAAGTGGCCCGGCTTTTTGCTGATGCAGGCCTGGTTTGCATCGCCAGTTTTATTTCACCCTATAGCCGAGTGAGTTAAAGAAATAAGTGTTTGGCTCTTATGCTCCAGAAATAGAAAGTTAGCATGAACCATGTTGTACTTTAAAATGTGTTTATGAAAACTTTAAAGATCTTAGTTGATGAAACAATATTGTTTTTTGTTAGTTTAGCCCATCATCGCTTATTATGGTGTGTTAGAAACCAACTTTGAAGCTAACTTTTTGCGCTCTGTGTCACTGAAGGTTTCTCCCTCAATGTTTTTATGTGTTCTTCCGACAGGATCGTCTAAATGCCCGAAAGATTCACGAGGCAGCTGGATTACCTTTCTTTGAAGTTTTCGTGGACGCCCCGCTGGATGTTTGTGAGCAGAGGGATGTGAAGGGGCTGTACAAGAGAGCTAGAGCTGGAGAGATAAGAGGTGAAGTATTATTTGTTTATATAAGTAGGGATGTTCCGATTTATCGGCCACCGATCAAAATCGTCCGACTTTGAAAAACACGTGCGCGACCGATTTCCGATCTACTCCTTTTAGAGCCGATTAAACCAGCCGATCACATGTCACTGCAGCCGACAGAGACCCTGTGTGTAGCTGCAGCATCAGGTCTCCCTCCCCCGCATGAGCGCCGCGGTAAAAGTGTCACTTTTACTCCGTCTGTGTGAGTGGTGTAAACAAGCAGGGGTAGCTCCTTAGAAAGTGTCAACACAACGGATTTAATTGGACAATGAAAGAACAAACTGCTTAGAGTGAGGGCCGTTTTTGTTACTAACCTGCAGAAATAAAAAAAAGAAAAGACGGAGCAGGCAACAGTTAGATGAGCGTGACCGCCAAACTATCCTGAAAAGTAATTTAAGTAGGGATGCACCGATATCAAATTTTAGGGTCGATACCGATATCCGATATTAAGATCACTGTTATGGCAGATAACCGATATTTGCCGATACCGATATACTGACATAAATGCTTCTAAAATCAGCTATTTTCTATAAAATTAAAATTATTAAAGCTGAATTCACATTATTATGTACACACTCATTTACTCTCCTGAGATGATTACAATCACTGTCTCATGACTAAACAGTTACACATCACCACCCTCACCCTCTGAAATGGGCAAACAAATGGAGACAAGATGGAAAAAATATTGGTTGTTAATATCGGACCGATACTGATATGTTAAAAAATGACTAACATCGGCCGATACCGATATTGATGCCGATATATTGTCCATCCCTAAATTAAAGTAATCATGCTGGATGCCTTTCTGTGGTAGACGACACCGTGTTCAGCCCGCTAGCATCTGCTACGAGTAATAAATAAAAACAAAGAAGATATTAATGTAACGACTCTGACTATCTTGGGTTACTTGTTTAGGGGTCTTTTATTCAGACTACTGTCGGCAGTTACCCACGCCTTACAACTTCTCCATTTAACCACAGAACAGTTCAGAACAGAGCGGCTTAGCACAACAGCCGCTGACCAGAACCAGAAACAACCCTTTACACCCACTGAACTGCCCTTCAAAATAAAACTAATACATAACATTACTCTCACATTCTTGCCTCTTAAAACTGTTACGATAAAAATAACATTAATAATAATAATGTTAATGATAATACATCTCTCAACACACAAAGTTGAGAATTTTTTTTCTTTCCTGCACATTTGGAGTGTTTAGAGCCTTTAATGTTTGAAATCTGTTAGATAGTTACTGATTGTAGCTACATTTAAGTGTTTCAGTTTTCCTTTTGACTGAATCATTGTGATGCTTCGTGTTTCAGCATGTCGGTAAAGATTCTCAGTCATCCTGGGCATGACGATCTTAAGAGATTTAATTGAAAACATCTGTATTTTTTGGTTATTACCTCTCATCCTAGATACATTTTCAGCTCTAAACCTTAAGTAGGAGGCTTAGAAGTAGTGGTCAAAAACAAACACACTGTGCTGCAAGTTTTATTTTTTAATTTTTTTTAAGAAAAACTTATTTTTTGTCTAAATTAATACAGGCTATTTAAGGTGATGTTATTGTTCCTTTATTCCCAGATCGTGTAGCACTCATTATAACTTCATTGAAAATTTATGGCCAATCCATGTGATCAGTATCAGCGATCGGCAGCAAAACGGCAAGGCGTCCTTTCACTATCATGGCCCTCGCCTATGGAATGGGCTGCCAGAGGACCTCAGGGCCGTAGAGATTGTTCACATTTTAAAGAACAGGCTCAAGACCCACCTTTTAGTTAAGCTTTTCATCTAATCACTAATCTAGATCACTATTTATTTAGTCTGTTTAACTGCATTGCTCGTTTTTATTTATCTGTTTATGTTTTTACAGTTTAGTTCTATGATTCATTTCTATTTTATTGTTTTATTATGTCCATAATCAACTTTTATTAGTTATTTTACTATCCATATTAGCTCTTGTTATTTTACATATTTTATTTGTTCCGAAGTTTCCTCTGTGGAGCCCTCTGCCTCAGGGCTTGGCGGCGGCTGCCAGGGCGCTCCTCGCGAGTGCTTGGGGATGGTGGGGGTTTCTGCCCTCCATCCCTGGGCGCCCGGGGTCGGTACTTCGGCTACTGCCGTGGAACTGCTGGTGTAGAGGCAGATGGCTCCCCTGATGGCGTGTCGTTCATTTCCTGATCCATCAGAACTTGGCCAAGTGTTTACTCTTGTTGATTTATGTGCTATGCGTACGAGTGTGTGTGTGTCTGTGTGAATGTGTGTGTACCTGGGAAATGGGCTGCTTTTTGAATCACTTTTAAATGGGTGTAGAGCCTTCCTGTGAAAGCATCATGATCATATGTGTGTGTTTCCGAGGTAGTGCCTTTCGTAGCATTTTGAATACTAAACCGTAATTTGTTATGAGTGATTATTTATCATTTGTTTGAGTTTAGGTTAATTACGTACGCTGAAATGTGTTATAAGTTTGTACATGATGCAGATATTTACTGCTCATATTGGCTTGCCTAACTTAAGTGCGCATGCGCAGAGCCTAGGTTCTGTTAGTCGTCTGATGGTCAGGGTTGAGATGCAGCGCCAGTGAGTGCGATAGTTGGTTATATTGTTAGTTAGTGGTTTCTTTTGTTAATACGTGTGCCCGTGTGTGTGCGTTTCATTGCAGGTTTACAACCAAATCACTAGTCTCTACCGATAATTGCTATTAAAGCTAATTTGAGACTTGAATCAAGGATGCAACTGTTGTGCTAAAAAAGGGGTAGCGAGACCTTGGGCCACTACGGCGAACATATGTTGTATCTTGTCCTGTTGAACGTCAATAAAGGAGTGACCAAGATTGAGTAGTGCCCGCTATACTCTCCCTGACGCCCCTTTCAGTTGGGGACATCTTTCACAATAGCAGGTAGCTGGGAAGATAACTGAACAATGGGTGGGAAAGGGATGGAATATAGGTTTTATGGGGTCTTTGTTATCGCTAAAGCTCTTTAAGTTGCTTCATTTGTATGAAAAGTGCTATATACCGTATTTTCCGGAGTATAAGTCACACCAGCCATAAAAGGTATAATGAAGAAGAAAAAAACATATATAAGTTGCATTTTGGGGGAAATTTTTTATTATTTTTCTTACTAAATCTGAGACCAAGCGTTTCACATTGCAAGACAAGTACCAGTAACAATAACAGAATAAACAATCAGGGCGCAGCAGCGCGCCACGGTCTCCAGCAGAGGATGGCAGTGTTTGAAACCCTCCCAGCGGGACAGGGGAGCTCATTCCTGGTCTGGAGCCAGCCCGCAGCAGCGCGGTATAGCATTCATAATTTGGTATGTAAGTCGCTCCGGAGTATAAGTCGCAGGGCTGGCCAGACTGAAAAAAAGTGCGACTTATAGTCCAGAAAATACGGTAAATACACTTTTAATTGATTGATTGAGCAAAAAACCTGATAGAAGCATCCCTATATAATTAAGTATTATTATGGACCAAAAAACACATTTCGAGCCTCTTAGTTGTATAAGTAATAATAAAACTGGTCTAGCAGGCTGGTAAGTAGACATTAAAACGGTTAGCTGACATGTTAAAATGCTTCTGAAAAGCATTTAGATGATATTTTTACTTGGCCCCATTTTGTGTCTTTCTTTCAAAAGTGAACATCGACAAACTGATGTGTCATGTAGAGGAAATGTTTGTCATTTTGTTTCCTCATTTGGTTTTGACTCGGCACATTTTTTTGCATGAGTAATTTCCCAAACGCAGATATTTAAATATCCACCACTGTCTGTGTAGCAAAGGTTTGAACCTGTCCTTACGTTAAATGAAATACATCAAAATAAAATGTTTTTACTTTGTTTTTATATTAGCTGCATCTGCAGAGTAGGAGTAGAAATTCAAGGTTGTGATATATGTTTTTAGTAGTTTAGGAGTTTAAGTAGAATTTTGACTACAGATGTTTGTGATGAAAAATGGAAACATATTGCTGACCGATTCTCAGATCTGTTTTTAAAATAAAACAAACAAAGCAGAAATTTTATGAGATCTGTGCTGATTCGCAGCCTTGAGTGCGTGTTTATGTTAAATAGAAAATTGGTGTAAACATTTCATGTTTTCGAGCACTGCAATAGAAAAGTAATTTTTAAGATTGTGTGTCTTTAAAATCCGTTGAGTAACAAGTGAAAAAACTGGATGTAAATGTTGCTTAGGGAATATAAATTAGAAAGTTCTCATGAATCAATCTTCGTTTCATCAGGTTTCACTGGGATTGACTCGGAGTACGAGAAGCCAGAGGCTCCAGAGCTGGTGCTAAAGACCGACTCCTGCAGCGTGAACGAGTGCATTCAGCAGCTCATTGACCTGCTGCAGGAGCGGGTGAGAGGCAGAAATATCACCCACAGCCACTTTATTTTATTTTTCATGTCCTCTTTAACTCCACATTTACAGATAAAGTAAAGAGTTCAGTATTTCTGACCTAAAAACACGAGTGTAATTTAATTCTCTCCACTAAGGGGCAGTGTAGCACCAGAATTGCATAGGTGTGCCGCTGAAGCATCCCTTACATAATTCAGTGTAATTTAGTAAATTCTAAATCTTTATCCTGGTCTTCATCATGCATAATGTTTTATAGTTATTTTTCTTTACAGTAATTAATTTGACCGTGATGTTTAACTGTGCAGGATATAGTTCCTGTTGATGCTGCGTATGACGTTAAGGAGCTGTACGTTCAGGAGAACAAACTGGACCTGGCCAAGGCCGATGCAGAGACACTTCCAGCTGTTGAGATTGGGAAGGTGATTATAATAAACTTTGATTTATTCGATTAAGCACTACTAAATTATATCATGAATGATCTGCATGTGCAGAATTTGTGATCATATGCGAATCTGCTTCTGTTAAAGTTGTTGGTTGGATTATAATCTGTCGTGTGTGTCTGTGTAATCCTCAGGTGGACATGCAGTGGGTACAGGTGCTAGCTGAAGGCTGGGCCACCCCTCTGAATGGCTTCATGAGAGAGAGAGAGTTTCTACAGTGTCTTCATTTCGACTGTCTGCTGGATGGTAAGATTGTGTTTAAAGTGAAGAGGGATTTAAAGATGGCTATGAGAAAAAGGCCACTAGGGGAAGACGAGTGCACACCAAAGCAATCGGCAAACTGCGGTGTAGCTGCGTGGGAATCTGAATTTGTTTAATTAAATTGTATATTTTACTTTTAAAAACACGATTAAAGGCAGAACTGGTGTCCAAAACAAAGTTTTAGATCCATATACTAAAAGGAATGCATTCAAAAGTAAAACTTAAGTTCAAGGTTTACATTTAGCCATCATCAATCTCACAGACTAGGACAGAAATCTGTTTTTATATTTAGATGTGAAAATCCATAATTAATTTTCCTGGTAGCTCTGCTGAAGGATGGAGCGGAAGAAGGCTTGTATTGATTGACACCACACACCTACATTTTCTTCCATTTTTGCTTCCTGTTGTGGATTTGACTTTGAAGGGATAGATTACTCACAGCATGACTCTGTACCTGTTCAAGAAGCATTCAACTGCTGGTTTCACTAAACGAGAAGCCAGCAGAGGTGGACAGAAATCTGTCATTAGATGGGACGATTCTCTGTTCTAACATTTGGAAGTCTCAAGCAGAAGTGAGCCTTTCAACGTGATGCAGAAGATGAGAACAATCAGCTCTTGACTTCACATACGTGCTTTTGATGTGGAAAGTGGACTGGTCTTGACATTTTCTTCAGGCTAGATGGAAACATTAATATGCTAAAAGAATGTAAATGGTAAGCAGATGAAACTAGGTCATGAGAGAGTATATGTTCACATGTTTTCTTCATTCTTTTTAATTGGAGTTTGTGATTATGCTGTGTGAGACATGCTGTGATTTAAGGCTGACAAAACAGCTCTTTACAGCAATTTCTGTTGCTTATTTCTAATTTTAAATATTTTAAATTGGCCTTTATGTCTGATTCTGGCATACTACAGTTGGGGCTCATTCATATAATTTTCTGCTGTAAGTGATTCTAATGATATTTTATTATTTTTAATAATCTTGATGTTCTTTACCATAAAATAAAATACCCCTTTCTCTGGTGCACCAATTTCAGGATGTAGAAGTGAGCCACGTCAGAGTTGATGTCAGGAGTCTTATTTCCTGATATTTGGATATCTCTCCCCTGATTGGCTAACAGCAACGCAACTCTACTACTGACTGTTTGCTCTGCAACATTGATGTTTTATCTCCACAAATAACACAAGCCTTAAGGAGTTTTGCAGTGTGGTGGAGTTACTAATGCTAAGGGTTAGCTTCTAGTAGCAGAGATGTTCTCTGCTGTTTCCTAGATGTTAGACCGACAACAGCCTTCCCCATCAAGTTATGTTCTCAGAGTATCCCAGAGCAGGGGCGGGAGTGTGGAAGTGTGTTGCATCTGGAATCAGTTTTGTATTCCTTGATGGGGAATCTCTAAGGTCACCCCCCACCCAACATTAAATAAGTTTTCCACTTCTCCCCCCTTTCTGGTTGGATGTAGAATTAAAACTGTCATAACAACCCTAGCTAACGCTAACAACAAGCTAACCATGTTAAATATGCCGCAAAGTAAGAAGATCCACATTGTTGGAAAAAAAACATTAGCAACAAAGCCAGGTCACCATCAGTCAGATTTTCTAGCCTTCTTAGCTCCCTCAAACTAGTGTAGACCGTGCCGATGTTCACTCTGGTTTTAGCTCTTTTTTTTTTTTTCGCCTCCAAAGACATTACTTTCTTCCTTTGCTTCCAGGCTCCGACATGATGTCAACAAAGAAGCAAAGTTGTTCTTCTTGAGCTTTTTGTTGATGGTTGATGAACTGAAAAAGCTAACTGCTAGCGTTTTTCATTAGCTACCAGCACAGTAAAAAGCTGTTGCCTTAAAGCACGTAGAGACTTCTCGTAAGTGTTCCTATCTGAACCACAAGACTGTTGAGAGCAGTTTTCAGTCAGGCAGGGGGCTTCTGAGTGTTGTCCAGTGTGAAAGTTCTCAAGTTCATGGCTGAAGAACCACTGAAACCTGTTTGAAAACAGTAACTTAGTGTTAAAAACTCTTTAGTGTTTCTCCATATGCAAAGTTTATTTCCAAATGGGACTTAAAATAGTCTTTAGCTGGACTTAAGTCTACTTGACTCTCCTCTTTCCCTCCTTTAGGTGGTGTGATCAATCTCTCGGTGCCCATCGTGCTGCCAGTGTCAGCAGCAGATAAAGAGCGTTTGGACGGTGTAACGGCTATGGCGCTGGTCTACCAGGGCAGACGGGTTGCCATCCTGCGCAACCCTGAGTTTTACGAACACAGAAAAGAGGAGCGCTGTGCTCGTCAGTGGGGCACCACCTGCAAAGAGCACCCGTACATCAAGGTTAGTGTCTGAGATGGCTAATGTCGGATCCAAGACCAGCTTCATCCTTCACCAAGAGCCGAGCCCTTTCTCACATTTAAAGTCGTGAAGCGTGTGTGATTGTTAGACAGAACACTTAAACATCTTTCATTCGTCCTTCTATACACTTTGCTCTCCACTCATGTTAGGAAATGAGCTCTGGCTCTTTTATGCTGTTGACCTCTCCAAAAAAAAATACTGCGAGGCATCGTTCATGACTGTGATCTGGCCAGCGTTGGACAGGTTGGATTTATTAAGAGTGTGGAAACAAATCACAACATGATCCTGAAAGCATTTTACAGAAGAGCCAAGTTGTTATTGATCACATCACATTAGGGCTGTAGCGAAGCCTCGACGAAGTCGACGGCTCGATTCTAAAAATTTGTCGACGTCAGATCTGGAAGTCGACGCACCGCGCCCACTTGTTGCATCCCCAGGAGTTTGTAAATAGAGGAAGAATCTGCCTGTTTTTCCTGTAGTTCGCCCTCTTCTCCGCCTTCACTAACATCTCCGCCAAATACCGAAGACCCGGAACAACGTCCGTCCACTACTAGATTATTTTCCTGTTTTGCCCCTTCGTCTCCCGGCAACGGACAACAACTTCCGGGGTCAGATGCGCTGCTTCGTGTCTATCGCAGATGTAGAAAATCACCGGGAGCGCTTCTCCCTTCATAAAGGAGCTTCTTTCAGACATGAGGAGAGCTGTTTTGGTGGTAGCAGTCTCTCCTCCGTGCTGGTCTGTTTGCTGCTGGGTGTTTTTGGTTTATTTAAACTTGGTAACTTGAACTTAACGTTGGTAAAGCTACTGTTAGCATCTTCGCTAACAGCTTCTTGCGTTGGGATAAGCCGTTACGTTTTGGTTTAGAGTTCATCTTTTTTGTGGTGTAGATCTCCCTTTTATTACATTTAGAGTGTTGTGGGTTTTCGGTTTAGTGTAAAATACCACCTGAGTTTGGTTTAACCCGTAAGACCACTCGCCTCACGCACATAAGTGACCAAAACAAAGCAGCATGGAGACACTCCATCTTCTACCACCTCTCAGGCAGCAGCCTGCACTCCCAAGTTCTACATGTCACCAGAACATAACCAACCGCAACACAATAAACGCAGTGTTATACAAAATGGAAGGCCTGTAGTGTTTATTCTCTTACAGTAAGAATTTATCAATTTTTTTGAGGAATTTATTTGAGATTTTCTGGTTTTTGTTAATTGTGCAATAGAAAAATAATCATGAGATTAATTTTCTAAATAGTCATTAGAATAGTCGACTATTCGATAAAATAATCGTCAGAATAATCGTTTTAAAAATAATCGTTTACCCCCAGCCCTACATCACATAGACACCTCGCCTGCTGACGGCTTTCACATTCTTACATGCAGCCTGCCAGAATCCACCGGATTCAGTCAGGTTAGAGATGGGGATGAGAAAGGGTACGAATATGTTAATTTGTCAATGAAGTAAAAGACACAAATATACATTATTTCCCTTTTTGCCAACTTCAAATAACTTCTCAGAAGTCAAATAATAACTTCAGTCTCTGCCAAAAGTTAGAGATCTCAATGTTCTGAAGATTTTTGGGATTTCCATAGAAATACGATGCTTTCGCTCCACCTAAGAGAGGAGAATCCAGATAACTTATGCATTAATGGTTTGGTGTTGACAGTAAATTCTCGTCAACTATTATATGGCTGAGTTTATATATTAAATAATTGTGTTGAAGCAGGTTTTTAAAGAAACAAGGTGTAGTTTTTAAAAAAGAAGGTGGTAGGGCTGAAACGATTCCTCGAGTACCTCGAATAATTCGAGTACAAAAAATCCTCGAGTCAAATTCTCTGCCTCGAGGATTCGTTTAATTCATATTTAATTAATTCGTGGCTTTGCAGTCGCCCGTGGTCATGTTTCACCCGGACTGAAATAAGTGACGCACATGCCCACTGGACTGCACACAAGAGTAGCGAATGTAACTTAACTTTCTCTTAAGCCATGGCGGACAACTTGGACCCCGGTGGAGTGCGAAAAAGACAGAAAATGTCAAGGTGTGGGACCATTTTTCACGTCGTTAGGCGGAAAACGTAGTCCAGTATAAATACTGTAAAATGGATTAAGCCTACCACAACACCACATCCTCCGTGCTGCAGCACCTGTAAATGTCACTTCTGCAAGCGGACTCGGAGCCTCTACAAGATAATGCTTTTTAGCCTGTTTTTCTATATATTCTGCGGACACTGTGCAACTTTTTCGTTTGTAGCACTCAGTTTCAGCTCACACCGTACGTCTGGTAGCAACACGTCGGACTTAAAATGTGCTTAAAAATAGCAGTTTTTACACAACACGTCGGACTTTTTATTGTGTTGTTATTGATATTTGTTGTCCCTCGGGATCGCTGCAGGAGGACACGGGTATTTATGAGAGGAAAACGAAAGAAAGTAAATAAATGTTTTGTGATCAGTATAATTTGACAAAACCACGGCAAACATGCTTTCTCGACAATCCTTGTTATTGTGTGAGAAAAAAAGTGTTGAAATTAAAACGGACGTGTGTTAATAGGGAACAGCCGGCGAGCTGTTTGCGCCGTGAGCGGTTCTGGTTCTGTTTGGGCCGCAGCCGCTCGCAGTGCTACTTCAACAGTTATCCTCCTAGTTATTGTCTGGCTTGCTGGCTAGCAGATTCTCGCACGAGGAGAGAATCGGCTCAGGTTGTGTACAGTACTTATTTTTTGCACAGCCATTTGTTTACTGTGAAGTAAAGTTGAAGTGCTGAAGTTTTGAAAACTAATTTTGAATAAAACTTGAAGAGTAACTGGCAATTGCTTGCTCATTTTAACAGGTCTTTCATAACTATAACATGCTATTTGATATAATGGTTTACAAATACAAAAGGGTAATTTATTAGAGTACTCGATTAATCGAAAAAAATATTCGATAGAGTACTCGATTACAAAAATATTCGATAGCTGCAGCCCTAGAAGGTGGATGTTTTTGAAAACAAAGAGGCTGTTTTCAACTTTAAAATCAGGCCATTTCTTCAATCCGGCACACCGTGCAGCTCCAACCGACTCCAGTATGACACGTGCACACACGACTTCAAGCTCAAATGTGACACAAGTGCCTTCTGGACTCTGCTCAGATCCCGGCTTTTCTTTTCTTTTTGCTTATGGGAGGAGTAAGTATGTGGAGGAGAGGGGTTTTTCCTCCTCACAGCCTCTCTAAGAATGCCCAGTGTAATCATTTAGTCCTTTCTGATCCACCTTCCTTCTGCTTTAACCAGATTGTGGGTCTTATGCTTTGTTGGAACGGTAGAAGGGCCAAAAAGGTGTGAAGTTCTGCGTGTCCTTCACACAAAAAGTATGCGTTAATGTGCAAACAGCGCAGTTATCGTGCTGTCTACGTGCTGTTTCACATGTCATTTTCATGTGTGTTTAGCTCTTTTGGCTAATCCGGACTAGCTTCGGTTTGTTCACCTTGCTGCTGAGAGCTTGGGCTGAACCAATGCACCAGGAAGGCTGGCTACCAGGACGCGTCATTTGGAATTCTAGGATGTCCAAGGAAGATCCCGCCTTTCTTGTCTCTGATTGGCTAAAAAGGCTTTACTACAATCAACTATTTCATTTAACAGCAAACTGGCTGTCCTCGCTAGGTGCAGATTGTCCTGCCACCAGCAGAAACTCAATCAGTCAATACATTATTAATCCCAGAGGGAAATTAGAGTTTCAGTGCACACAATTCAGAGATCAGACATACATGGGCAAGACACATGACAAGAATTGGTGACTGTGGTCATTCGCAACCCGAGTCGCGCTACCTTAATACCGTAAATCCTCTAATACAGGCCGGTATTCAATTAAAGGCCGGGTCTCCAATTTTGGCCGGTGTCGGAGTCAGCGGAGGCGAATAATGGCCGGTCTCTTATTGTGGCCGGATGGAATGTGGTAACAAGCAAGTACGAGAGTCCCAGCGACAGGGTTATAGTCCCCAAATCAACCAGCAGGAGGCAGTAGGGGTTCACGCAGACCTTTATTAGGCCTTTTCTACAACGCTTTGTAACGCTTCAGACACGATCCTCTATCACGCTCCTACCACACAGAGTCAAGGTGTCAGTTAACCATGCTAATTCAACCCGCTCCACAGAACACACATCACCTTCCCTGTGGCTTACATAACACTCACACAACACGCAAATCAGCACATAGGAACTAGCAGAACGATAGGAAACACATATAACACAATACCCAGAATGCACCTGGCTTACAACCCCAGCCAGGTCATTACACTATCAAGTTCAAAGAGAACGTGCTGATTATGCTGCAGAACACTCTGGAGAGCAGCAGTAGGGGGTGTATGAACTACAGTAATCCCTCGTTTATCGCGGTAGATGCGTTCCAGACCTGGCCGCGATAGATGAAAATCCGCGAAGTAGGGACTCCCAGCATGCCCCTCGCAGGGATTCCCTTCACGTCGCACCTACGTCACAAACCGCGGCTATAAACGGAAGTCGCCTTTAGAGCTCAGTCATCGTTTCTTCAGATTCATGATCAGAGTTTCCAACCTACCAATCAATCCAACGAACTATCAGCTCATAGTAAGTTATCTTACTTACTTCTGGAAAGCCCGGCATTTCCGTGTCACTTCGTTGACGCTCGAACGCTCGGGGGTTTCCTAGAGCAGCCGGCGTTTCACCGACGCTATCACTTCCGCGTCTGTGAAACCATGCTCCCGTAGGTACTGACACGCGATCGTTCATGTCGGTTCATTTCCTTTAATGTTTTCTGTCTTTTATTTGCACCTGATGTGTATCGCTGCTGTGGAGCGGGGCGCATCAACTTGTCCTCCGACGCACAGATCACTGATGCGGCCGGCAAGCATGTTTTCGCGGTCGGTAGATCTTTTAGAACTGCAGTTCAAAGGTAACTCGTGAGGTGAATATATATGAACCCAGGCAGCAGCTTTTCTTTAGGACTGAGAGGAGATGCAGGAAGATAATAAACAGGCAGGACAGAAAAAATAGTCAAATAAAAACAAGTTAGTTTTTGTACCTGGTGGTTGCAACAAACAGACACCATTGAAGGTAATCAGAAGTGAGGAACAGAAAATGAAATAATTATTTTAATGTTTAGAGCAGCAGGAACTCTGAGAGGCTGCAGGAGCATCAGTGAGTTTGCGGCCGCTGCGCAGGGGGAGGGGGGAGAGGGCTGAAGCAGAAACTACCGTTGTTAAAAGAAATGTGTTTAACTTTGAAAATGTGGGCGCAATTTTAAATGTCAAAAACTCCAGCGAACCATTAGTTCATTTTGCTCAAATAGAAATAGAGGCCTGCCTCTAATACTGGCCCTCCTTCCAATAAAGGCCTGGAGCTTGATGAGCTTGAGTCAAATACAGGCCCGGGCCTGTATTAGAGGATTTACGGTATTAATGGAGAGAAAGCTGTTTTGGGGAGTTTAGTAAATAAAATGTGAACTTAGCGCTATAATAAACATTCTGTCCTGGTTAGCAAAATATTTTATGTTTTATGTTTCATAAAAACACTGAAAAACGAAAAATGTGAATTAGGGCTGCTCGATTATAGCAAAAATAATAATCACGATTATTGTGACTGAAATTGAGATCTCCATTATTTAAGACGATTTTTCAATTTATGTTGATTTTATTTGTTTTTATTCAGTCATAAAATTGCTCAGGGCACAATCAGGACAAAAATAAATAAGAAACAAGATGATCACTAAAATAACTCCTGATTCCCAGTATAAAAAGACCAACATACTTTTAGCTCAGTTTATGACCCAAGGGCTACAGACCTTGGTTTAACTCATGTTAAGTCTAACCAGTACAGACCCAAATACCAATATCTTGCAAATACTGACAGCATGGCAGATGCAAACTATCAACTTTATGTGATTCCACCTGGAAAATGTGTGTAATTCTTTGAATTGTCTCCACTTGTCACCAACAGTTGCAGCACAGAGAAGTAGTGCTACTGGTGGAGGGGTTTTATTGTGATTTTATTCTGAGGTCACACTGACCTTCTGTTTTCTTTTTTTTTACTCTGAATCATGTGTGGTGTGTATAAATAACAGCTGCCCCAGCACAAGTATGATCATAAATCCCACTTTTATCTCTTTTTAGACCTTCTTTAATCTAGCTAAAGTGTTAAATGATGCTTCATAAATTAGGACCATGACTGTTGTCCACATCCGGGGCCTCGGTGCTCCTCTAAACACGCTCAGTTTTCAGAGCGGTGAGTCACTCTAATCCAACGTGTGTGTCCAGCCCGCTCCTGAAGTGTGCGTATGCATACATAAACGTACGTCTGACTGTGTTCCAGAGCCAGTCTGTCCGCGCCTCTGCGGTGACAGCTACAGTCAGGCCCATAAATATTGGGACATCGACACAATGCTAACATTTTTGGCTCCATACACCACCACAATGGATATCAAATGAAACGAACACGATGTGCTTTTTAACTGCAGACTGTCAGCTTTTATTTGAGGTATTTACATCCAAATCAGGTGAACGGTGTAGGAATTACAACAGTTTGCATATGTGCCTCCTACTTGTTAAGGGACCAAAAGTAATGGGACAGTTGGCTTCTCAGCTGTTCCATGGCCAGGTGTGTGTTATTCCCTCATTATCCCAATTACAATGAGCAGATAAAAGGTCCAGAGTTCATTTCAAGTGTGCTATTTGCATTTGGAATCTGTTGCGGTCAACTGTCAAGATGAGATCCAAAGAGCTGTCACTATCAGTGAAGCGAGCCGTCATTAGGCTGAAAAAACAAAAGAAACCTATCAGAGAGATGGCAAAAACATTAGGCGTGGCCAAAACAACAGTTTGGAACATTCTCAAAAAGAAGGAACGCGACGGTGAGCTCAGCAACACCAAAAGACCCGGAAGACCACGGAAAACAACTGTGGTGGATGACCGAAGAATCCTTTCCCTGGTGAAGAAAACACCCTTCACAACAGTTGGCCGGATCAAGAACACTCTCCAGGAGGTAGGTGTGTCTGTGTCAAAGTCAACAATCAAGAGAAGACTCCACCTGTGTGAATACAGAGGGTTCACCACAAGATGTAAACCACTGGTGAGCCCCAAAAACAGGAAGGCCAGATTAGAGTTTGCCAAACAACATCTAAAAAAGCCTTCACAGTTCTGGAACAACATCCTACGGACAGATGAGACCAAGATCAACTTGTACCAGAGTGATGGGAAGAGAAGAGTATGGAGACGGAAAGGAACTGTTCATGATCCTAAGCACACCACCTCATCAGTGAAGCATGGTGCTGGAAGTGTCATGGCGTGGGCATGTATGGCTGCCAGTGGAACTGGTTCTCTTGTATTTATTGATGATGTGACTGCTGACAAAAGCAGCACGATGAATTCTGAAGTGTTTTGGGCAATATTATCTGCTCATATTCAGCCAAATGCCTCAGAACTCACTGGACGGCGCTTCACGGTGCAGATGGACAATGACCCAAAGCATACTGCAAAAGCAACCAAAGAGTTTTTGAAGGGAAAGAAGCGGACTGTTTTGCAATGAACAAGTCGATCACCTGACCTGAATCCGACTGAGCATGCATTTCACTTGCTGAAGACAAAACTGAAGGGAAACCGCCCCAGGAACAAGCAGGAACTGAAGACTGTTGCAGTAGAGGCCTGGCAGAGCATCACCAGGGATGAAACCCAACGTCTGGTGATGTCTACGTGTTCCAGACTTCAGGCTGTAATTGACTGCAAAGGATTAGCAACCAAGTATTGAAATGTATAAGTTTGATTTATGGTTCTTATTCTGTCCCATTACTTTTGGTCCCTTAACAAGTGGGAGGCACACATGAAACTGTTGTAATTCCTACACCGTTCACCTGATTTGGATGTAAATACCCTCAAATAAAAGCTGACAGTCTGCAGTTAAAGCACATCGTGTTCGTTTCATTTGATATCCATTGTGGTGGTGTATAGAGCCAAAAATGTTAGCATTGTGTCGATGTCCCAATATTTATGGAACTGACTGTATACAACACTGCCGCTCCACTTAAAGCGTAGTTAATCTACTTCGTACCTGTTTACCTGTCTGTCTGACCGAGGCCCCCTCACCGGAAGCTTTGCTGCAGCAGCTGTTTATTTGTCCAGGCCCTTTTCACATGTGAACTTTAGCTTTTTAAATAAAGTGAAACGGCGCATGTGTCACTTCCCTCCACATGTGCATTATATCCTTTATGACTTTTCCAAAGCCAGCAGTGGACAAATAGAATAAAATAATCGGTGAGAAAGAAATGACAGCGCGATCTTTGAAAGTTCCCACAGTAAATAAAGCCGAGTGGCTTTTGAACTCATCGTGTTAGACGCCTCTGCTGCAGAGAGGTCTGCTTTAAATACGAACCGCCTGATCAAAGGGAAACCAGCATGATTTAGAAGTATAGATATCAAAGAGTACTCATGATGAACAATGAACGGATTTTTCCATGTTCGTATTTGTCACGTATCGCACTAATATCACGCAGGCTGGTGTTTTCTGTAATTCCAGCTGCAGTCTAAAGCACCACAGGAGGCAGGCAAGGGTTCCTGGATCCTGAGCACTTCGGTGAAATTGTTTGAATCTCACTAGGGCGAAACGTTTTCCTCCACCGTGGTCACGGCACCTCGCTGGCTTTTATTGTGGAATTCGGTTCAGTCGTGCCACTGTTACACCTTTCAGACCCGACGCAACACTTGGGTGGTGCCAGCATCGTCAAAACGCAGAAAAATGTAGTTTTTTTTAATTAATTTATTTTTTTAAATACATTGATCCCAGTCATTATTTTATAATACAAATACAATTGTTGCTTTCTTAAACAGTTTTAAATGTCGTCTGAGGCTGAAAATTAATAAATAAAATCCTTGGAGAATATTAGTTTTACATGTTCTAGAAACTCCTCAAGTGATGTTAAACAAACTTATTGGTCTTAATTGGCTGAGAGCAAAACACACAGACTGTTTAACGAGACACGACGGCTGATTTATGGTGCAGTCCTGTCGCAGCTGGGCCATAACTCAACTTTTACTAGAATTCATGCTGGCCAACACAATGAAGGTTTTATGAACTGACCAGCCGTAACATTATGACCACTAAAGAACAACATGGTTATACTCATCTTGTTACACCATTTTGCCATCTGGCATTCATAGAGATCCTTATTTGACACCTGTCACCCATGGAGATGTGTAGGAACAGTTTACGACACTACCCAAATCACCCAGATGATTTACCGGTAAGTGTTACTATGGCGACACAGGTCAGTTGGGTAAGTCAACTTAGGTTTTGCAGCACTGGAACTGTGTGTTTGTGTAAAACAGTCAGCGCTGGCATCACTTGACCAATCGTACTCGGGTATCTGGCTTGAAAAATGTATAAAAACCAAACAATGAGTCCTGAAGTACCGGACCTGGGACAGCAGTAGCTGGTGGTGCAAGTGTGTGCTAGGCCTTGCCTCTGTCAGTGTGCCCCAGGACAGCTGTGGCTACATCGTAGCTCATCACCTGTGTGTGAATGTGTGTGTGAATAGGTGGATGACTGATTGTGGTGTGAAGCGCCTCGGGGGGTTGTAAAACCCTAAGAAGGCACTACACAAATTCAGGCCATTTATTATGAAGTAGCCTGAGCTACTAGGCCACCTTCTCAGTGGCCTAGTGGCAGAGTGTCCGCACTGGGACTGGGAGATCGGGGTTCAAATCCCAGTCGAGTCATAACAAAGACTTAAAAAATGTGACCCAATGCCTCCCTGCTTAATACTCAGCTTTAAGGGGTTGGATTGAGTGGTCCCCGAGCGCAGCCATTGCGATGGAGATGGGTTAAATGCAGAGATGTGTTTTCACCAGTGTGTGGTGATGACGGATGGAACTTTAACTTTATATTTACTATAATGTCAAAGGAAGATGTCAGAAGAAAAGCAAAGCTACTTGTACCACATAAAGAACAATCATCCTGGATTCTGTTACAGATGGTGATGGAAAGTGGAGACTGGCTGGTTGGTGGTGACCTTCAGGTTCTGGACAGGATCTACTGGAATGATGGCCTGGACCAGTACCGGCTGACGCCCACTGAGCTCAAACAGAAATTTAAAGAAATGAATGCTGGTATGGAGGGAGAGAGCCTGGGCATGCTTCTACCAGGGACACATTTTAATGAGACTTTTTACAAATTGTTGTTTCTGTAAGAGTAAAGCATATTTTTGGGTTTGCGTCCACTTTGAGACTCGTGACAGGATCACAGTAAAGCTTGGTTTATGCTTGACGCATTCACTTTCCGCTTGGTGATGCGGCTCGCGGATGGAACGCGCTTCACAACTTGCAGCGTTTATGGTTCATGCGGCTCGTCTCTGCGGTGAGCCAATATCCTCCCAAACTGTAGGGGGCAGCATGGAGCTCTACGGCATGCATCCAACACTACCCCATAGTAGAAGTAAAAATTACTGTTGTTTACAACATGGCATTCCAGCATTTTTAACAGCGTCCTCGTCTTTTCCGACAGTGCGAGTTATTTCTCTCCAAGAATTATTAACAACATGTCGATCACGGTGATCTCTGAGTGCTCAATCATACAAATGTCTGTATTTACGAACCTCTGCCATACTAGTTCTTGCCGGTCCGCCATGTTTTTCTGCGTCCGACTGTCCGCGTGGTTAGAAAATTTCCTAGGTGCGCGTTGCGGAAATTTTGGGCCGTGGTTGTTAAAATGACGCTACTTTTCCACGCAAAGCCGTGCGGACCTCTCGGACGCGTCAAGCATAAACCAACCTTTAGGGCGTTTTAGGGTTTTATTTGAATTCTAAGCAGTCAGTTATTTGCAGTTTGATAAATGCGTATTTAACGACCCATTCTCATACTGTGTGTGAATGGGTGAATGACTGATTGTGTTGTAAAGCACCCTGGGGGGTTCCAGGACTCTAGAAGGCGCTATATCAAATACAGGCCATTTACCATTTTATCATTTCATCTGTCTAGATGCAGTCTTCGCCTTTCAGCTCCGTAACCCAGTCCACAACGGCCACGCACTTCTGATGCAGGACACCCACAAGCGTCTCATCGAGCGGGGCTATCGCCGACCTGTGCTGCTTCTCCACCCCCTGGGAGGGTGGACCAAAGACGACGACGTTCCTCTGCCTTGGAGAATGAAGCAACATGCTGCCGTGCTGGAGGAGGGCATCCTTAACCCGGACACAACTATTGTTGCCATTTTTCCCTCGCCTATGATGTACGCAGGGCCAACAGAGGTAATGAGACATTTCGTGTTGCTTTGAAACGCATGTTTTCTTCAGAAGTGACTGAACCTAAACAATGATAAAGCGGAAAAAAAATGATGGATTCAGGGAAGAAAACCGTCAAATAGTTTAGCTGAAAATGTTTAAGTGACAAATGGCAGGAAAGAGAACCGACAACTGTCTCGAGGCGCTCGGTTGAGTCCTTCCATGTCATGCACAAACATCTGTGGGACTGAGCGTAGTTGTGTAGCTGGGAATCTTTTAATCATTCACTTATGATAATGGGAAAGCTATGGTGCAAATCATTGAAAACAGATTGTTGGCTGTTGGATGTCGGGGAGTGGATTTAATCAGTTTGTAACTGGGAATGGGGGCTTTTTGGATCCAGGCGCAGTCTCCGTGTTCTCCTTTTGTTTACTCATTAAAAACAACAATGCTTTGGTCTGCATGCTGCTCAAATAATAGAACTTCCTCTGCTTTTCCATAAAACGATACACTAAAAGCCTGGGGCCAAAATCACTTGATCTAAGTTGAATGAAATAATCAGGTTTCTCATTAGAGAAATGGTTGGTGGATCTTATGTAACGGTACTTCAGGCCTGTCTGTCCTCCACAGTCCCCGTGCAATCTCTGGTGATCTGACCTCCAGCTCCTGGAGCCCTGCATCGCCCCAGCTTACCATCTCAGCCGATTCTGTTTAGAAAAGCCTAACTTATGGACTGTGTTTGCTTTAATTTTCAATATAGTTGCTGGCCGGAGCTCGGCAGTAACTCCCCACGTGATTATGACCGCTCCCTCTGTTGCGCCGAGGCGTAAAATGCATTCACAAGTCCGGCGTTGCAGTAATATTACTACTATCAAGCGTGGCGGCACGAATGCTGCAAGGAATTCCTGCAACACCATGACACCACGGCAAGTGCATTAGACACGCCATGGCGGCGGTATTATGGGCTCGACACACGGGAGGCGACATCGCCTCTCCTCCATTCATTTTCAACGAGACGTGCGCGACAAAGCGATAATCGCGGGTCTCTCTCCTACCAAGCGAAACGCGAAAAACGTGCGTGTGAAATTTTGCGCTCGTGCACGTGTCGTGCACGGACGACCCAGTGACGAGATCCCAGAAAGTTGAAACATTTTCAACTTTTCATCGCTGTCGCTCGGACGAGGACCAATCAACGGAGGTTTCATTCACTGACCAATGAGCGGATAGGATGCTCCGCACACCTCCGAGCAAACATGGAGGAGAAGTTGATTATTATTATGTTTTATAGTAAAATCAGAAGTAAGATTTCACATAACTCTAGCAGCATCTTGTGAAACATCAAATCTACCGCTTTATTAACTCTGAACCGCTTAAATAACCTTAATTCCCTCCAACCTGACACAGCCAATCAAAACAACGGAAGTTTCAATTTCGCCTTGGAACAGAACGCGTAGACGGCTTTGCCGCTGGCCGCTGCCGCGGGTCGCCTCCCGTGTGTCAGGTAATAAAAGCGACAGCGACGAATTTCGCTGATCGCGGTCGTTTGTTGCCTCCCGTGTGTCGAGCCCATAATGCTGCTAAAAAGGGCTACTGACTTTACAGCAAGCATGAAGCGACAGTGGAGAGGAAAACTCCCCTTTAACAGGAGGAAACCTCCAACAGAACCTGGCTCAGTATGAGCAGCCATCCGCGTGACGGACTGGGGGTTTGAGAATGATGCTCTATGATGAATTACACAAAGATGAACATAATTGTTTAGCGTTATTTGTGCTTGTGAAGGTGGTATGAAGGTTTGTGAGTGTATAACGGATTGTTCTCTCCTGCTGGTCATGAAATTGCGTCCACCGTGGAGTTGACTGTGATGCCGTCATGAGTTTTATCAATTTGTTTAGTCTTTCTGGTTAAAAGCAGTCATGCAAACAAGCAGCAGCATGTGGTGGGTGTTGACATTAGCATTTGATGCAGTCATTAACTTAATGGTTGCGCCTAATACGTTAGTCACAGCTGGTTTGGTTTTGCTTCACCCCCACAGGTCCAGTGGCACTGCAGAGCACGCATGGTGGCTGGTGCCAATTTCTACATCGTGGGTCGAGATCCTGCGGGCATGCCTCACCCTGAAACAGGAAAGGATCTCTATGAGCCCACGCACGGTGCCAAGGTCCTCACCATGGCTCCAGGCCTCATCACCCTGGAGATTGTACCCTTCAAGGTTGCAGCTTACAACAAGGTTAAGAGAGCCATGGACTTCTACGAGGCTAAAAAGTAAGTTTTCTTTAGGGTTAGTCGATATTATTTTAATGCAGTTGGTGTTTTGTTCCCTGTGGTCTTTATTTGTCACTCTAGTGGAATGCAAGATAGGGTTACAGGAAGTGCTCGCTCACTTCATTTAAGAGCATATTAGTAGATTTAGTCCAGAGTAATACCTCACATTTAGATCAATTAGGCCAAGCGGCCAAAGCAGAAATGAGATTCTCTGAAATCATTTCTCATTAGGCCTGTCCTGTTTGTAAAAAGTCCCTGGTTATTCGTTTTCCCTCTTTGGTCTGAGGTATCTGCAGCGAAATGTGATGCCAAGAATAACAGCGATTGTTTTTCTTTTTCCTTTGAGTTAGAATATTTCATGGATTAGTCTAACCTTTGATGTTGCTCAGAATTAGAGACCTGCCATTGATTAAAGTCCGTAAACGGGCACTCCACATGATGACTAACAAAAATCATACAGTTCCCTTGCTTTACCTCTATGCCTCCAATGAGTTACGCAACCCTAGCCGTCAGCCAGAAATGTTGGGATTAATCACAAG